TCCTGCTACAACAATCCCCTTACTACTCATCTTGCCTTCCCATAATTCATTCGTCATCCCTCAGCTAAAAAGATCTGTCTAAATCACATTTCGGAACCTACCTAAATCCTCTCAATCATTCGCTAGCAGCCCTGGGATAAATTGCAAATGATTTTATGAAGCCCTTAAGTCCCTGGATTATCTGGCCCCTATTTATCTCACCAGCCTTCTCTCTCTCAACTTCCATATTGCACTTCACAGTCAATATCTTCTTGTTGTTTATGATTATTCCTGTCTCCTTGTATTCCATTTCCTCCTCATCCTTTGTATAGTAATGATAAAATACCTGTTTACATGGGCCAGTTGGTGGTACAAGCCACTAGATCCCACATGGCCAACCTCACAGTTTAAGTCTTGGATCTGGCAGCTTAAAAAACATGCAGGGTGCATGTGTATATGTGCCTAAAATCCAGCAAGACAAATGGAGGAGAAGGGATTGAAATGTAACCATCCCCAGTAGGGGATGAATTTTTCTTTGTCTCTCTCTCTCTTCTCTGTCTCGCTCTGGTGAGTGCACATGACCACTCACAAATTCAAAAATATATATATACTTAGACATGGGTGTGCATGTGTGGGTGTATATATATATATATATATATATATATATATATATATATATATATGTATATATAGATGATAATTATGTAATTACCATATAGTGCAGTTGCAGTGTGCTAGGCAAGCACTAGTCTATGCCTCTTATGTGCATTATCTCTTATTTTTCACAAAATTGTTGAGAGAGAAACTGCTCTTTCCTCCCACATACAAAGAAATATAATGTTCCAGATACTGTAGTATACAAAAACAAAGATCTCTGGAGCTCATCTTTTTGTCTGAATTATTTAGAGTCTTAGGGTAGGGCCATGATTTAAACAATACGTAGTCCAATCTTTACTGGGCCTTGAATACCTTAAGTAGTTTTTCATGGTCTATATAAGGAGTAAGCAATGTATTCCTAACTTCATTTATATTCAGAAAAGTAACATTTTTTTTCCTTAGAGAATACTTTCTTTCTTATCTATGTCCACCCTATCTTTCAAAATAAGGAACACATAAATTAAAAGAAAATACTTTTTTTAAGAATGGATGAGGTTGGGATTGGGGAAATAATTTCAAAACACAAGTTTCAGAGCCATTTCTGGAGCCTGGTAGTTATGGTAGCCTATCCTACCTGGCCAACCATGCAGTTTCAGTCCTGGGCTCAGTACCTTGAGGAACATATTAGACACAATGTATGTTCCCAAAATCTGGAAAGGAAGGGAAAATGGAGGATAAAGGACTACATTTTTGCTATAGGGCATGTACACTCATTGGTAACACAGAGAGACAGAAAGTGAGAAATCACCCCCCCCCCCAACCCAGAGCAGATGGCCATCCCACACTCCCTTCTCCTCCATTCTCCTCTCAGGATTTTAGGAACACATGCACATGCGCCCAACCTGAGTTTCAAGCCACCAGGTCTGGGACTCGAACTACAGTCAGCCATATGGAAATGCAGTAACATAACTATTATGCTATCTGCTGGTCCCAGTAATGATCTTTTAAAGCCCTTTATAAAGAGTCTTAAATAAGTTAATATTGATGTCGAATAACTAAGGTATTTGAGACTTAGAAAAAAACAAAAACACCTTATTCCTCTAAGCATTTTGTTATTTATTTGCCTAACAAATCTAACACAGTCAAATACTAAATTAAAGTTTTGATCATGAATTTGATAATGTAATTTGAGATAGGGACATTTATTTGTCTATTCTAATTAACACCCATTTACTACTCAATTTGGTGTTAACATTAGATTTTAAAATATTTCTGAGCCTCTCCAATTTGAACCTTAAGACCTAAGATATACTTATATCCATAAAGGAAACTCATTTAGTGAACTTACACTCCACTTTTAAATACAAAGTCGACGAATTTACAAGTAGAAGGCCCCTTCCTTTGGTGGGAGATCTGACAGATTAAAATGAAACACCTGAAAAATGTAAGGCCTCCATTTTGGAAAATAGGACATGTATTACCTCATAACTTCACACTGTGTCTGGATGTTCCTCAGGAAAACATCAGGCCATAAATTGGATTTGATCTTATTCGTTAGATGGTAATATAGACGTCTTTTCCATATCAAAAGAAACTTACTACATGCCTATTGTTTACTGTGATCTTTAACTGGAGAAAATTTATTCTTGACAGAATCTCTCTTACTATTTTCATGCCCTTGGCCAACACTGGAATGGAGAAAAAAAAGAATAATAATTATATTTAAATAGTGGTAGAAATGTCAATAAATAGCAGGAGAAAAGGTCTGTGTCAGGGCAGCAGGAGTTATGGAGGTTATGGTGCTAGATTCCACATGGCTGTGACTTTGCAGTTTGAGTCCCAGATCTGGTGACTTGAAATCATGCCAAGTGCATGTGCATGCATGCCTAAAATCCTGAGAGAAGAGTGGAGGAGAAAAGAGTGCAGTGAATTCATCTCTCCTGGGGCTTTCTCGCATTCTCTGTCTCTGTCTCTGGTGAGTGTAGGCACCCTGTAGCAAAAACTAACTAAAAATAAAAACTGTATCAATTTTTATATGAAGAAAAACACTTCTTTTAGAGAAAAATCTGTAAATACACAGTGCTTCTTCTGTCAAGTTTGTAATATATTATCACAAAATCTCAATCATCGATGACTATAGATATTTATCCTTTGTATTGCATATTTTTTAAAGTTATGAGCTAAAATACTTAACATTCTAAAGTGAGATACTTTTCAGTCTATATTTATCCTTTGTATTGCATATTTTTTAAAATTTTGAGCTAAAATACTTAACATTCTAAATTCGACTGTGGTTCATAGAAACTCTGAGAAATCAGCAAACAATTTAAATAAATTGATAACACAAAAATATTAGAACTTTGAGCAATGCTTATTGAGTAGTACCTTTTAAATGTGTGTTTATTCCATAATTGTCCATTTTAAGGTATTTTTGTTGGTATAATTCTTCTATTGTAAAAACAGATCAACAAAGGTCTAAAAAATTAGTATTTCACTATGAGCAAATTTAATCGAGTTGTTTTATTGGAAAATGATTTCTCATTAGCTTGTAGGTTAAGGAAGATTATTTTGTCTATGGTCATAACGGTTCCTTAATGCTTTTGGCAATTTTCCTGGAAAGCTCAGAAATTGCCTTTTTTTCCCAGAATTATCATAGAGTTCACAGGTATGTTGACAAGAAAAAACATTTTAAGCACTTGAAAATTACTTTGGTCTTAATTTTATTTGTGTTAAATGTATGATGTGAAAAATATGACTTAATAATCTTAGAATGTTGTGATGCCAACTTTTATGAATATTTATGTTTTTTGTTTATGCGGAAATTTAAAGAGCTTGCCACAGCTGGTCTGGAGGGAAAGCCAAAAATAATATGCATTTTTCCAAAGTGCCCATTGGATAAAAAATACATGGTTTCTCTGAATGAATGCCTTTAGAGGAGGCACGTGCAGGGGTGTTCCATTGCACATCATAAAAAATGAAATGCTTCTAACTTGTCTATTATTTCTGATAGGAATTTCTGCTTTATGTTTTGTTATATTGAATGTATTTTATGAGTTGTAGTAGTAACCATTTTATTTTTCTAATAAGTAGTCTATTACGCTTTATAAACATTTTAAAACAATATTCCCATGATTTTTTGTTGAATTATTTAACTTCCATATTTTCTCAGTGCCTCTAGTATATCCGGGTATCAATAGGACACTTCACAGCTATATTAGAGCCAAGAGTCTTATAATGATTGTGTTGATGAACCAACCTAGTTCATTTTTTTCAAAGCAAGTTATAAATATCTATTCAAAAAATAAGTGTTTTCATTGGAAGAGAGACAATTAGCCTTTACCTGAACATTTATTTTGCCAATTTAAAAAAGAGGAAGTAAAGCAGCAAGGATAGATGAGTAATATAATCTTTTACATCTTCACATGTTCTGATTACTAGCCCATGCATGTCTACAAAACTAATCGTTATTATTTTACCACTTGTTAGAATAATAAAATTATGTACTTGCATTACACTCTTTTTAAATTTTTTTGAGAGATTTTTTGCTATAGGGTGTGTGCACTTGCCAGAGAGAGAGAGAAAAAAAAAAAACAGAGAGACAGAGAGAAATCACTCCCTCCCCCACCAGGGCAATGGGCACACTGCAGTCCCTTCTCCATTCTCCTCTCAGGATTTTGGGCATGCACGTGTCCAGAGTGAGTTTTAAGCCTCTGGGCCTGGGGACTCCTCCAATGGTCGACTACGTGGGAGTCCAGTGATGGAACCATTTTTTTTTTGCTGAACCCGGCTTTGCACTCTAAATTTCTTCTCATCCCAGATTATGTTGGAAATAGAAGATCAGAACCTACTGTTAAGTTTGACCAAACCAGGTGTGAGACTAGAATACAAGTATTCCAACTCACACTAGTGTTTTCTCCTTTTCTAGTTGCTGCGACTCTAGAGGAGAGGCAAAACTACAGCAAAGTAAAACTCTCTGCTGTAGTTTTTCCTGAGCTCTATCAGTAGACATAGAAGGTTACATGAAAACTTTAGTGTCATTTTATAAGGTATTGTTTCTATTTGTAAAATAACATAAAGTCCTTGGGTAAAGCATGCTCTTTACCAAGATGCCTGAGCTCTTCCTGGGATATACTAGAGGCAGGGAAAATGTGGTCATGCATATTTCAGAGTGGCTCATACTCAAGACATATTGGTCAACTATTAGAACTGTCTTCAACCTGACCATGAATTTGAACACAGTGAGTATGTGTGTCATGGTGGAAAAAAAAAAAGGAAAAAAGACACCATATCTTCCTCATACCTGAGCTCTCTCACATCTGAAATGATGCTCTTGTTTTATTCCACGGCTTTCTTTGGATTGAAATGTATCCATTAACTTGTGTGTGCTTTTCTTTTCCATCCGTCCTTCTCCATCTCATGAAAAGCACATCTGGGTAAGTTGAATCACAATGGCTGCTGAACATGCTTATCTTCAGCACCATCTTCTTTTTCTTTTATCTTTAGTGTTTCTCTTTTTAGTTGTAACACAAGCTGCACTGCCTCTGACCTAAACTGGAGTTGTGAAGCACATTCATTTCCACACAGTAAAAGGAATCATTGGTTCAGAGAAATGTTCACATTCAGATTCACTGTGCTGGGGTTTTGGGCACTTCTATGTCTTCAGCTCTATAAGGCACACATCAGAAGACCTTCTGATTTTATTTCCCTAGTTCTTGAATCACTCCTGAGGAGTTCATGTGGTGCTCAGTGAGGTACCAGTCATACTTTCAGGCCGCTCAGATACTGATGACTTTGCTGCGTGTCCGAATCTGCCTGTGCTTCCCTCATGCATCGTGGTTTTCCATCCATGTTTTATTCCATAGACAAACTTACTCGTCATCTGCTAGAACTGCACTTAACTGAAAAGGGCTCATTGCTAGATCTTCCCAGCAGAACATTTATATCTAGAAAATGTAAAGTAATCCTCGGTTTTGTTTGAATGTGTATTCTTCCCATTGTTTCTTGTGCTACTATTAAATTTTTTTGAAACAAACAAAAAAAAACTTAAAAATCTATAATACTCAAAGTTTTCAATCTTAAATCTTGCTCTTTGAGCTAAAATTATAGCATACTGTCTATTCCTAAAACAAACTTGGCTTCAAAGTAAAACAAAACAAAACAAAACAAAATATGCATATGTATAAAGTATTTGTGTTGGTGTAGAGTTTTTGCATGGGTAACATGGTGAGATTATTAAAGCACTTTGGATTGTGGAGATTTTCTTTTAATTATGTGATGAAGGAGAGTACAGCTTTATGTGTAAAGCATAAAGCAAGGAGAGTGAGCAGCACATGCTGAAAAGACCCCGTCTCCACTAAGTGTTCCCCACATGCATTTTAAGGGCAAGATTAGGGACAGGAGTCCCAGACCTATGGTCAGTTAAATGTTTGATTCAAGAAGGTGGGATCATTTTGTGGGCATTCCTAATCTACTAGTAAGGCCTTAGATGATGAAATTCCTATTCAGGTTTCTGAAGCCTTTCAGCCTGGGGTCTTTGAACTCACAGCCAGCAGTTTTTAATATTAAAACAAATCTTACATATTGAAATTAAAACATTGTCTTTTAAATAACCTTCTCTTGTAAATAGGATAATAAGATGTAATTCTCCAGGAAGCTATAAAATCCATTACTAGTTGGCTCCATGGTCTTTTGTATGCCAATGTTAAGTTATGTTTTTGTAAAATAACTTAATTAGTATGGTTTAGACTTCTTTTTCTATTCTAATGTTGAGTCACAGTTTTTATTTTCAAGATTATTTAATAGTCCAGTATTTACTTCAGTTAGGATAATTTATAACATTCAGGAAAAAAATTCCTAAAGTATTCTTTAAGGATACCAGGAAAACAGTTGTTAAAGGGCTATAAAAGTACTTGGTCAAATGAGTGTTATAAGGACTTTTTTAAGCTAATAAATATTCTGGACATCACACTATTTATTTATTTGTTTATTTTATTGGAAGAAATTTTTTGCTATAGAATGTGTGTGCTCAACAGAAAGACAAAGAGAGAGAGACAGAAAGCGAGAAATCACCTCCCAGGGAAGATGGCTACGTTGTAATCCCTTCTCCCTTCTCCTCCATTCTCCTCACAGGATCTTGGGCATGCACGCACGCACATGCACCTGGCATGCGTTTAAGCCTCTGGGTCCAGGACTTGAACCATGGTTGACTGCAGGGGAGTCCAGTGACATAGCCGTTATGCCAACTGCTGGTCCCTGGACATCACATTTTAAAGTATTATTTTCATGTTGCCATATAAATTTTATCTTCTGTTTTCTAATAATTTTTTTTTAATTTCATAAGGAAAATAATTCCAAAAAACTTATTTTTCCATCTTTTATTAAATAAAATATTAAAAAACAATAAATGATTAATGTATTGTCACTAATGAACTCTAAGAAACTGACATAATTACCTTCACCCTCAAGTTAGATTTCTTATTATGTTAGAATGCTCCTGGAACTTGAACATGTCAGGAGCTCAAAATCATGGCCCTAGTACTGTCAGTAAGAGAGCTTAAGAGGGTATAATATTAGGGGAAGAGAGAGCAAACCTCCTGAAGATAACATGGAAAGATTTGAGATGCAAGGACCATGGAATTAGGAATAAGAAAACACAGTTTAAGTCTTTTCCTCTTGCTCGCTCTATACCTTTGGGTGGCTGATCTATATTCTCTGCATTTGCTAATATTACTATCAATTTCCTGCCCCAATAAGAGTATGTTCTCCAGAGTACATACACCTCAGAAGCATGGAAATTCTAAACTTCCGAGCTGAGTAAAAGAAGGTTCAAAATTAGATGCATCACTAAAACCATATAGTTTAAACGGTATCCACATAACCTGAAAAATTACCAATGTTTTCCAGTAAGTCTCTAATTGCTATCAGGAAGTGACTGAGGAGAATAAACAATAATGTATTACAAAAGGAAAATTGTTTAATGGAAAGTAATACAACCCCCTCTAGTTTCCAATAACAGGATGGATAATTACATAGCTCAATCACATTTGTGCGTGTATCTCTCTCTGTGTGTGAATGTTTATAACTGTTTAATGGCTTTGAAAATGGTTAAATTCAAAATAAAATGAGGAAGTAAATTATGTAAATTCAACTCAAATTCACAAATTAAATTTCTTTCCTGAAATTTTGTCCTATATTTCAGAGCAGCTTGAAGAAAATGCTTAAATGTAAATAGATTTTGGTTTTAATGCAATCAAATTATTTCCAATCCAAAGGCCTAGCACACATTATTGAAATCTAAATGAAACAGTACTTACCTGTGTCAGGGATTTCATGTTTTCACTGAAGGTAAAAATGAATAGTAATAGACACACACAGACACACTTGCACACACACCAAGTCACAGTACACTGTGTTGTCAAAATCAATTCACTTTGTTAATGTTGAATTTGAAACTCAATTTTATGGAGCTAAATATGTATATTTAAGTAATCAATGTCTTGATGTAGTTGATTGGAATTTCTGACACATTTCTGTTTAGAATAATTATGTTAACTAACACGAACATTTTCATCTGCTGATGTTAAAAAAAAAATTGGTGGCATGATACTTTGTTCACTTTTGTTAAGCCAGAACTTCTACTAGTTTCTCAAATAAGTAATTTTGGTTTTTAAAGAATTGTAGGGGCTAGCAGGTGGCTTGGTGGCTAAGAGTGCTGGACTTACACATGACCGACTGTGGTTCAAGTCCCGGACCTGATGGCTTGCTTTCTCACTCCCACCCCCCCATCCACCACTCTGTCTGTCTCTGGTCAAATTAAAATAAATAAATAATAAATAAAGTTAAATAAAATAATTCTAAAAAGAAAAAAAGAATTGTGAAGTATTGAGACCTAGTAGGCAGCGTAGTGGTTAAGGAGCTGGACACCAACATGACTGATCACAGCCTTTGAGTCCCATTCCCACAGGTTTGAAACTCAAGTCGGGCACGTGTGCATGTGTGTGTACCCAGGATCCTGAGAGGAGAATGGAGGAGAAGGGATTGTGGTTTGGCCATTCTCCCTGGGGGCTGATTTCTCACTTTCTGTCTCTCTGTCTCTGTCTGGTGAGCACTCTCATCCTATAGCAAAACTCTCTCTCTTAAGAAAGGAGGAAAGGAAGGAAGGAAGGAAGGAAGGAAAGAAGGAAGAAAGGAAGGAAGGAAGGAAGAAGTAACTGTGAAGTATGGGTTTCTGAGTGACATAATTATACTAAGACAATCTTTTGGTTCAAATGTGAGGGCACCGTATCCCATTTACCCTTTACCCTCTTGAATCTGGCATCTTCGAGAAGCAAGATACATTTTCTATTGATAAGAGTGTACAGTCTATGTACATTTCCTGCTAGTGTTGTGTAAAGAAAATTTATTCTCTGTGCTACAGTGTTAAAAAGTAAATTAAATTGTCAAATTGTTTGACTTATATTTTATCCTTTGTTCTTATCCAGCTTTCTATTTACTTCCTCTAGTTTTATCAACACTACATATTTGTCTTCTGCTACAGTAAATCAATAAGCCCTGAAGATAAATTTTACAGCCAGAGAACTATTTTGAATTATGATTACACAAAAATCAAATGAACTGAAGCAAATTACAACACATTTAGCTTTTGATCTCAATTATAGAAACTAGGCTAACCTTCCTCTGACCAAGATCAGAACCAGATAGAGAGTAACAAGAAAAGGCAAGCCTCAACTCCTTGTTGTCTTAGTGATGAGAGTGGAAATGTGTGACAATAGGAGTAAAGACCTTCCCTATTAACTAGGAATTCTTAAAATGTAAGCTACTTTTAAAAATAAATGCTTGTCCATAATAATAGTGGTGTGTAAGTAACCCCTTGTTAGGAGATAATTAAAGATTAGATTGTCAGAAAAAAAAAAAGGTGAGAAACTATCATTTCACTTTATACTCACAATAAGGAAGGTGATGTTTTTCTCCTTCAGACATGCAATGATTCAGAGAGGCTAACTAACTGAGGGATAGTATGGCGACTGAGAGCCGTCTCTGTAGCCATGTGACCTTCAGACATGCAATGATTCAGAGAGGCTAATTAACTGAGGGATAGTATGGAGACTGAGAGCTGTCTCTGCAGCCATGTGGCTGGGACTCAAATTGTGGCTCTACCTCATTGTCTCTTAGGTCTTCAAGTGGCCTCTGTTCTTCAGTGTTCTTCTTTGTGAGCGTGCATCAATGTGTATTTTATTAGAGTGCTGTGAAGATAAAACATGCTAATACATATGGAAAGTTTAGGATAAACTTTACAAAGTTAGTGACAAATGCATGCTAGCTATCATTATGTGAGATCCGAAGCCTAATTTGTCTGTATTCAGAACTTTAGCTCTTTCAAACCACTATAGTATAGCTCATAGAAATATAAATGGTTCAAAAGCACTAGACAGCACAACCAATAAATCTGTATTATAGTGTTTCCTATATCCATTGCAGTTCATTTTAAGTTACACTTAAATAAATCTAAGGTAGAAAGACAGTTTCTAAATGCCAGTTAGGCCACAACTACAATAGTTGAGGAGAAACAGAAAGTAGAAGGACAAATGTGGTGTTTCTATTTGGATTTAGTCATTTAAGCAAAATCGTATTTAGTTTGCATTAGTCTGGACTGGAAGTGAGAAACCACGAGCCCGACAAATGTTCTTGATTTTATATTTTTTAGACACTCTTGATCTTTTATCTAGAAATTATTGAGTCTTGACATTTCTAGGGCACCCACCTCTAGTATGTTTCTGTCCCCAGATCAGGCATAGCAAGCATAGATTTCCTTCTGCATGTTTCTCTATGACCAGATGTGTGAACTACAGACATGAGAGCTGACCACATGTTGGACTTTTCTAACATGTCACTTTCCAGTTACAGTAACTCATGACACCCATAGCAAGAGAATCTGAGGCCTTTGGGGGGCATTAACAGTTTTCTTGTTGCAGATCAGAGAGTGTTTCTTTAAAATACACCATAATTCAGAAATTTCACAGGTCAAAATGACCTTTCCTTACAATTAGTACTTTTTGGTTTTGCGTTTTCATATTGGTGATTGCAACTCTGTGTCTGACACCTCCCCTGAAAGGAAGTGCTACTAATACCCTCTAAAATCTAGTCTTATTCCTAAAACTAAAATGCTTGCCTATAATCATAGTGATGTATAAGTAATCCCTTGTCAAGAGACAGTTGAAGATTAGATTGTCAGAAAGAAAGAGAAAGGCAGGCAAGCAAACAAAGGTGTTTCTTTAGGCCTAAAAAAAAATGGATTGTTCAAAATCAGATTAGTACTATTAGTACTGTGGGGAGTGATCATGATCTCATTCTAGCATAACTGCCACTTGAACTTAAAAAAAGGTTGAATTTTGGCTTCAGAGAGATGCATTGCAGATCTTTTTTCACACTTGGACTGGTTGAACAGAGAATAGCCAAAATTCTTATTTGTGCCACATAGATGGTTTTTAAGGCTTTTTTTCTAAACAGTTCTGGTCACTGTGTGCTCACTACAGAAAGATAGAGACAGAGACAGAGTCAGAGAAAGTGAGAAAGCACTCCTCAGGGAGGATGGCCATGCCACACTCCCCTCCTCTCCATTCTCCTCTCATCTTGGGGTTGCATGCACACATGCCAGGCAGGCTGATGATTCAAACTGTATAGTCATGAGGGATCTAACCATTATGCTCACCAACAGGCCCCAACTCACTGTTTTTCTGACAATGACCCCAAAATTTCTAATGAGACTAAGCATCCTATATAGGTCATGCTAACCTTACTAATTTGTCACCAAGTTATTGTGTACTGGACTCAGTGATTTCCAACTTTTATAGCATTGCCCACATTGCTTTATGTTTCTAATATTGCTTCTTCTTAAAGCCAACATGTTAAGATATGCTTCTTTTATTTTATAATTGAGAAGAATTAGATGCAAAATGGCTTTAAAAATTTTATGTTTATTTCAACCTCATTGATATACCCTTCAGGTTAAGAAAAAGCAGATCTTGAGTTACTACCATGTAGTACCAAGTCCTCGTGTGAAACCCAGCTATCTCCCGCCAGAATGGCCTGTATCTCCAGTCTAAGTGTGTCAGTGCTGAGACCTCTGCTTAAGATTTAGCCCAAGCAGTTGGTCAACAAAGGGCAGAATTCACTGAACTTGTGTTCCCTTGTCTCATTTTCGTTGAGTACTGTTGCTAAAGTTACTATTCTCTGACAGCATGTTATTTAAACCAACCAAGCAAAACAAAAAGAAAAGAAAAAAAAAAAACTAACAGGGTTCAGAGTGCTCAATAATTTCCAAACAAATGTATAATCAATATTTCTGTTTATAAATAGAATACAACTCTTTGGGCACACCAGGTTGCCACTTAACCATATTCCTATTAGGAATCCTAAACCAGATCAGACTTGTGGGATTGGCTCGAATCAGTGCCATTTTGATAAAACAGGCAATGAAAGCTCAAAGGAAGGGAGAATGCAAGAAAAGTTTTCATTCTTTAAAACATAAAAATTTAAATGTGATTATAAGGTAAAATGGAAAAAAGGTATTTGGACTCCAAAAAAAAAAAAAAAAAAAGACACAATTTACTGAAACAGGCACTTGAAAATAAACACTGGTTGGTGTGTCCAACATTCACTGTTTACTTAGCCCCTCTTCTGTACCTGTGTTCTAGACTTCAAATTCATCTTTGAATAGAATAAGTGAAAACAGAGGTCCTCCTTAAGCTTACATTCTATTGGCACATGTTAGACTGAGGAATAAACTATATACTATGTGAAAAGATAAAAGAAATGGAGAAAAGTTAAGCGAGGTATGGAAATAAGAAATGCCCAGTTGGAGTCAGAGGAGGTAGGGGAGGAGGTGTTCAGAGGGAACAGGACATTTGAGTCAAGGTTGAAAGTAGGTGAGGGAGTGAGCCAAGTGGAGAGAGAGGGTAAGAGCATCCCAAAGAGTGAGAACACCAGCTGTAAAGGTCCTGAGGCAGGAGAGGCCTAGGCCATTTTCCATGAACAGTAAGGAAGCCAGTGTTGCTGGGTAAGGTGGGTGCTGAGTCAGAGGGGTGAAGAGAGTAGCATGGCCCCTAACAACTTCTTGGACTACTTTCTTTTTAGTCATATGGAGTATGATTGCAGAGTTAATGAGCCCAGGTTTATATGCTCAGACTTAAGGGCTAACAAATTAATTCTGGTTTTTCTGATGCATTTTTTAAAATCAGGGAACTAGTCAAACTTTTCAAAATTAAAACCTGTCCTAACATTTAAAAATGGCTTTTGTATAACTCATATAATGCACTTGTGAAAATGTTATGCACATCCCAGGTCATTAGTGCACATTTACTTGATTTTTCACTAAATGAAACAACAACAACAGCAAAAGTAACTAATTATAAGTGTATATTCCTTTCTTCCTATTTAATTTACTTACCTAGTACAAAAATATCAGCGTTCCTTTCCTTATTGGATATAACATTACAACTCTGCTAATAGGCTATGTCAAGGCCAACTCTAAATTTTCTTGCACGTGTCCCATGTTAAGTCTTACCTTTGCACCTTCACTAATACTTATCTTTTCTAAGAACATTATCTCCATCTCTTTCCTACATGCCCTTCAATGCCAGCTTAGTTGTCCTGATGCTTCACCAGTTGTTTCTACTGCTATTAACCTCTTTCCCCAAATCGTCGTACTTACAATGTGCCTCACCCAGTTTTAGCAGCTATTTGTGTATTGTATCATATTTCTGGACAGTTCATTTGTTTGTTTTGTCTAACAAGGGATCTCATGAAAAATTTGGTCTATGTTCCTATTTTCCATACAAAAATGGATCTTAGCTCTCAGCAGAGCTCAGTAAGTACCAGATACTTGGGTTTTGGTCTTTCGATATATTTCTATAAATAAATCAGTCACAGCCATACTAAGCTGTTTGAAATCGGTTTTCAATGAAGGAATGTCACTGAGAATTCCAAGGAATGGTTGATGGTAAAAGAAACCCAGTGAGAAAAAACCTCTGTTTTTCACTGCTGGTTTAGGGCGCCAGAGTCGCTGTCCCCTTTCTCAGGTGCTGAACAACTTACTGAGAGAGAGAATTTAGCATTGCTATGCCCTCAAATAAAACAGCAGTTGCTTCGTGTTTCTAGTCAGCCACAATTACTTCATTTCCCTGCTTCTTGCTTCTTTTTCAAGTGCATTTTTGTCAGAAGCATCTGTTTCAAACACAGAAAACTCTTGTGGTGAAACGCATATTTAACTATATATTTTTAATATACTAGTATAGTCTACTACAATAAGTAATTGATCAATAGTAGGAAATAAATGCTTTCTTTTAGAGCTCATATGTGATATTCATACACACATATATATACATACACACACATATGTTGTTCTCATTTATGAATAGGATCAATGGATAGAGAATAGATTTTCAAGTATAATCCTGACCAAATACATAGGAATTACAGTTTAAATGAAAATACATACCTGCTATCTCAATAATGAATAATATCAGACTGATTCTGTAACTTTATGTCTGTTATAAAGTCTCAGTAGCAGAGCATCTGAATTACAGATATATTTGCTCAGACTCTTTATATTTTGTGATTTTAAAAAATCATTAATTATCATTGGGGTATTTTACTTTCATTTAAAATGGTGTGATTATAAACGAAAATACACTATTGAATTTCACATGTTACATTGCTAGCTATTGGTGGAAATCAATTTACCTTATTCTCTTCAGATGAGGAGTTGTTTTATAGTCTAGACAGAGAACTTGCTCATAAGATAGACCCCTGGACCCATAAGGCATACTAAAATCAAGTGTATTATTAAAATGAGATTAAAATGACCAAAATTTCTTCTGCATCTCTCTCTCTATTTTTTTCATTGCCACTAAGATAGTAAGAGAGAGAAAGCAGGGCAGATGAAAAAAGCCACATTGCAATCCCATAGTGTACACTTGAATATGAATATATGGGCCATCTTACTGTTAAAGGGATAAAATATTTGTTGATAATATAATTCAACTTCTTAGTCTATTAGCACTACATGTTTGGATTTTAGTGAGTAAATGTTGGGGAAAATTAATTTTAGATGTCAGTATTTCACTCAATAAAATTAATGACTGATTTATGTGTAAGAAAGAATTCTATCATTCTGTATTATCTCATAAAATGCTAATGAAGAATTATTATTTTAAAATATTATTAAAATAATTACATCAATATTTTTCTATATAACCTAATAACCTTTGCTATATACCTCAGGCACGAACTTCTTGAAGAAGCTCGGAGAAAGGGATTACCTTTTGCTCAGTGGGATGGGCCCACTGTGGTTGCGTGGCTGGAGGTAAGAGAATTAAACCAGTAACCATAGAGTGCAGACCTTTGGTATATACTGAGTGGGGACATACAATGCCTCTCTTTCAGGCAGTGTGGGAGGAGAGTGGGGAATAGGTAACGTTGAGAGGGAGGGAATCAAGAGGAAAAGAAAGAAAAATATTTAAGGGACATAAAAATGGAAAATTATCTGTTGATATGTATGGTAATATCTTTGACTGAACCAATATACAGTGTATTCATGATGGGAAAATTCATTTGGTATGCTGAATGATACACAGTGATTGAATGTTTAAAAAAAAAGAAAGAAGAAGAAAATAGCTTTTTATATTAATCACTACCAATTGGATACATTTTTAATTTTTAAGACTTTATTTATTTTCTCCATGAGGGGGAGAAAGTGTGACAGCACCCACAATGGGATCTTGATGCTGAGACTCACCCCCAGCTTTAGTCAGCCTTGGATTGTGGGCAGTCATGGACCCAGTGCACTCCAAGAGATCTCTGGAGGTGTACACAGAACTTTGCCATGTGGGTCAGCCCTGCACAGTGGCCTGCTTTATTGCTGTGCCACCATCTGTCCCTAATGGTTCTTTAGAGACAGGTTTCTGAAATCATAGCTCCCCAGTAGCCCAGTGTCACTCATAAAGGTAATACTTGTTTTTATCCTAGGGACCCATGAACACGGTGATTTTTATTATGACACTTTCATGTGATTGTAGCAGCAGAGAGCACACAATAAAATAAAAAGAAGCCTCACTAAATTTTGCCCTCTTCACATCTAGAGCAGGAGAATAAACAATTATAGAGCCACCTTTCTGGTATTTCAAGACAGCTATCCTGTCCATTCGTTCAGGGTCCTTACTTACTCATCAGCAGGTTACAGAGAAGAGTCATCTCCATATGCAATAGTTCTGTTATTCAAGATGTCAAGACCACCTAATTGTACAGGGAGCCATCCTTTCTGATTTAATTCCTGAACATAATTCTCTATGATGACTGACTAACTAGCTAGGTTTAGACAATCCGGATGAAGCAGAAAATGTATCCCTTTGTTCTCTTCTTTGTCAAACCTGAATGTCACAATGAAACAATTATATTAGCATTTCCTCTACAACACAGTGTTTTGGAAAAATAAGGCAATGTATGAACAGGGTAGATGGAAGCAGAAACAGACAGGGAAATGAAACAAATATACATATTTGACCACGAAGGTTCCCTTTGTGCCACTTTTCAATATTGTTCTCTGTCTCTTATAATCAGCTCTCTAATATAGACTTCTAATTGTTGCTAGGATATACCAATGTCAAGGCAAAGGAGAATCTAGGATCCTCTTGCCTGACACAGGCAATTATACACACTGTTTTAAATAGTTCAAGGTTATGAAACAGCTGCTTTCATTATAATATATCCAAAGCTACCTAAGGAGTCAATAAAGAAAACGCAAGGCCCATGTTAGTTTAAAAAATAGACTTAACATAGATATAAAAACATACTTGGAATTTTTTTTCATGGACTAACTGAAAGGAAACTTTGTCTTTTTATTTCATTCTTTTGTATCATTCAGAGAAATTTGCATATTAGTGATCAGCGCTGCTTCCTAAGCCATGTCTTTAAAATTACTATACTTAAGAGAAAATCAATTATAAGACAAAATGCCTAAGAAATCACACCTCAGAAATGAAAGCAGTTTTTTGTTCACCCTCATAAAAAGAGCTGCAGTTTGACAGAGAGTTATTTGTTATTTTGGCAGGTGATGAACAAATCCTTCAGATATAAAAAACAGATTTCCTGACATTAAGGTGCTAGGAAATGACAGGCAGTGGAGTTTGTGCTAATTAAACCTATCCTGAGCACACAGAAATTGCTCATAATGTGATTCCTAATGTGCCTCAAATTCTAAAATGGAATAAACAAGATGAATGAGCGAGGTGATCCAATGAATGAGAGCGCTTCACTTTTACCTCCTTTGGCACCTCCTGGAGTGCATATTCTGTTAAAAGTGTTGTGTAGGAGGGAGTCTGATGTTTCACACACCACTTAGCCACATCAAAAACCCTTCAAAGTCTGATCACAAATTTCATCAGTAACAATGCATTGGAAAGTATTTGGGTAATGTTAATCAGTGCGGGAATCTAAGTAACTTAGAGAGGAGGAAAATTATTAGGGTCCAGTGAAGGGATATTTAGATGCTTAGGGTTTTTTTTTAAACAGTTTGATATATGTACTAAGAAGTTAAGTCTCATTCGGTGTCACTTCTAATGGTTTTTTCAAAGTAAGGTGCTTTTATTTTTGGCCTTACCTGCCTGAAAGTAATGTAAACTGTACAGTGACTACGTGACTACTGAACTCAAATCTTCTCTTTTCTTTCATCACAGCCCTGGCCATAGTAACTCAAAGATATGGCTCTTTATTGTTTTGTGTGTGTGTGTGTTTCCTGACTGAAACAAATAATTTTCTAATAGAGTAGATATGATAGAACTTTTAAACAAAAAAGATATCTGCATCAGTTATCATAGCCAAATAATGAATTATTTGATTTGGGCATTATTTCATGGGTCAGGATCTGGATATAGATTCCTCTGCTCAGTCTCCAGGACTGTAGTCATCTCTAACTTTGATTTTGGGAGAATCCACTTCTACCGTGACTTATGTGGTTACAGTCATGATTAAATTTCTTGAGAGCCGTTGGCTTGAAACATTAGTTCCTTGCCATATTTGACTCCCCATAGGACTACCCATACCACAGAGCTGCATTCCCCAAGAGCAAGAGCTCAGAGAGGAGAGTGGAAGAGGACTAGCAAAAAATGAACTATAGTCTTTTAATAACCTAATTTTTTAAAAAATAGACATCCCATCTCTTTTGTCATATGCTATTCATTAGCAATAAGACACTAGGTCCAGCCCTTCTCAAAGGAAGGAGATTAGACAAGGTTATGGATCCCAAAAGGCAACAACCATTGGGAGACACCTTAGCCTCCCTAATGCGGTGACTTAACATAATATAGTGTAATCACTTTACGGTTTGTATAGTTTTACAATAAGAATGGAGACTGAGGTCTATCTAAGTTACCTGGCTAATCAATATAGGGAAATAATTAGAACCCAGACTTTTCTGATTCTTGGTGCTTGACTTTTGGCCTTGTGTTTTGCTGATTTATATTTTTCCTTATTTCTCTCACCTTTTCTCATTCTCACATATTGTTTACCTTTGCTTAACCTGTTCATGTCAACAGATTTTATATGTACATATTATATTTAAAGACAAATAATTAAATAGCTAATTTTTTATATTTTCTGCTTCTTATTCATAGATAATAGTGGGGGGGAAATGGTGAGGCTATTCCTTTTTTAAGGTTATACAGTTCAGATACTACAACACAATGCACGTGAGCTGACATTCATATGTGTACCCGACTGCTTTCTGCATAGAGCTGCTGCTGCTTTTTTCTTTGTAGAGGCTCACCGCAAAATTGAAAAGCCATAATCCCTGATTTCAATTGCATTATTAATTTTGTTACTCTCTTTAGCCATGGTTTTCCAGGTAACTCTAATGTTAGTCTCTCTCATTAATATGACATTTCATTCTCCAAAAAGCAATTTCATGTATAGCATCTGATTAAATTCAGAAAACTTTCACATGATGTTGGAAGGTAAGTGGAAATGTGGGTTAGCTACACTGCGTATTTGCTCAAAATCACATGAATAGAAATGGTAGAGATTCTAGTGACAGAATGTCTTCACACACAAAATTCTCAGGAGACTTAAAAATTGAAATCACTCGGGACCAGCAGTTAGCGTAATGGCTATGTCGCTGGACTCCCACGCAGTCGACTGCAGTGCACGTCCCGGATCCGGTGGCTTAGAACTCACACCGGGCACGTGTGCGTGCGTGCCCCAGACCCCAAGAGGAGAACGGAAGAGAAGGGATTGCGTCATGACCATCCCCCCCTGGGGGGGGGTGATTTCTCACTTTCTGTCTCTCTGTCTCTGTCTGGCGAGCGCACACGCCCTATAGCGAAAAATCTCTACAAAAAAAAAAAAAGAAAGAAAGAAAAAAAAAATTGAAATCACTCATTACAAAAGCATTTGCTTATCATATGCAGATCATACCTGTTCTTGTCTTTACATATAATGGGGAATTTAGTGCCATGCAACTACTGCTTTTATCTCTAGTAATGGAAAATAGTTGTTAAAATGCAGTTTCTAGAGCCAGAATGCCTCAGCTTCAAATCTTGGATCTGTCACTGCCTCACTGGTATTGTTGAGCAATTTACTTAATAACACCGTACATCTGTCTCCCCTGGAGAAAACAATGACAGCATTATCTCATGGGATTGTAAGCAGTAAATACATTCATGGCTGTAAGGTACTTTGAATAATTTATAGTATATAAGAACTGTAATAAAATGTTAACTATTGTTATAATCTCTGTGTGTGTGTATTTTTTTTTTTTCCTATCCAACAGCTCTGGTTGGGAATGCCTGCTTGGTATGTGGCAGCCTGTCGAGCCAATGTGAAGAGTGGTGCTATCATGTCTGCTTTATCTGACACTGAGATTCAGAGAGAAATTGGAATTAGCAATCCACTGCATCGCTTAAAACTCCGATTAGCAATCCAGGAGATGGTCTCCCTCACAAGTCCTTCAGCTCCTCCAACATCCCGAACTGTGAGTCAGTGTGTGCTCCCTCCCTTCCCCAGGCTGAAGAAATAGCAGCATGTCTAAGTCCACAGAGCAAAACTGTGGCAGCCCACATTTCAGTGTCAGCGTGAATTATTCTGAAGAGATTTAGTTTGCTCTTCATTAACCTTGCTGTTATATTTAATAGGTTTTCAGTTGAGGAACTGTGATTCATATCAGACATGAAGGCTGCAGCCAGGATAGACATTCCAGCTAGTATCTAAACTGTAGTTTAAATTTTTCTCCTGGGGGCCAGCAAATGGCATGGTGGTTAAAGGCTCTGGACTCCCACGTGGCCGACCACGGTTCAAGTCTCGGACCTGGTGGCTTGCTTTCTCACTTCCTGTCTCTCTCTCTCTCTCTGCCTCTCTCTGATCAAACTGGAAAATAATAATGATAATAATAATAAATAAAGTTAAATAATTCTTTAAAAATTTTTTTTCTCCCAAGCAGCAAAACCCTAAGCTTATTCTGTTCCAAGATTGATCAACCTTCCCTTTTTCCTTCCCTTCCTTCCTCTCTTCCTTCTTTCTTTCCCTTTTTCATTTTACTTAAATGTGAAATAGAAGTAAAGTGCTGTTGAGTTTCAAGAAAGGAGAAACCCCTTCTGGTTGATATGGCTTCAAGAAAGAATTAATATTTGAAGGACAGGAAATACATTGTTTATAGCATTTAAGTTACATACTTGTTTACAGAAGTAATAACACAATCCTTACAAATAACATTAGTAAGATAAAAAAAAGACAAAAAATAAAAACTAAAACTGAAAATAATGATTCTAGAGATAATCAACATTGAATTTTTTTTTTTTTTTGGAGAGATTTTCACTGTAGGGCGCGTGCGCTCGCCAGACAGACAGAGAGAGAGAGACATAGAGACAGAAAGCGAGAAATCACCCCCCAGGGGGGATGGTCACGCCGCAATCCCTTCTCCTCCATTCTCCTCTCGGTTTTTTTTTCCGGCGTGAGTTTTAAGCCACCGGGTCCGGGACACGAACTGCGGTCGACTACGTGGGAGTCCAGCGACATAGCCATTACGCTAACTGCTGGTTCCCAACATTGAATTTTTTACTGTTCACTATTTTTAAATTTTTTTAAGAGGTTTTTGCCATAGGGCATGTGTGCTTGCTGAAAGAAGATACAGTGATAGGGAAAGTGAGAAATCACCCACCCTCTATTCTCCTCCCAGGATCTTGGGCACAAATGCACATGTGCCTGGCATGATTTGCAAGTCACTGGATCCAATACTTAAACCATGGTCGACCATGTGAGAGTCCAACGACTTAACTGCTATACCATCTGCTGTTCTGCACTATTCACTTTTGATAGAGATCTTCCAGTCTTTTTTCTTTCTCTTTTCATAAAGACAGATTATTTCACGTAATAAATTATTTTATATTTTTGTTTTGAAACTTACTATTATAATATAGCATACAGATTTTAGTCATTTTACCAAATATGTAATCCTAGTATAATTTTCAATTGTTGCAAACCTCTTTTATGGGAATATAATTGATTTAATTAAATCCCTACTATTAAACATTTTGTTTACTTAACAATTTTCATTATGTGCTAAATATGTGCAGGCAGTTAAATTAAAAATGAGCATGGTGGGACCAGCAGATGTCATGATGGTTGCATTGCTAGACTCTCATGTAGTCAACTGTGGTTCGAGTCCTAGACCTGACAGCTTAAAACTCATGCTGCGGGTGTGTGTGTGCATGCCCAAGATCCCAAGAGGAGAATGGAGAGAAGGGATTGCACAGTGGCCATCACCCTTGGAGAGTGATTTCTCACTTTTTGTCCCTCTGTGTCTCTGGCGAGTGCACATGCTATAGCAATAAAATAAAATTTAAAAAATGGTTATTTTGTAGCAATATTTCTGTATGGGGCATTTATATTTTTAATATATTATTTTCCTTTTTATTTGTGATAGAGCATGTGCATGTTAGAGTGAGAGAGAAAGAGAAAGAGTGAGAGAGAGAGAGGAGCACCCTTCACAGGGTCTGCTGACACTATGATCCCTTTCCACCAGCCCTCCAGCCCATCAGATCTTAGGTATGTGTGTGCAGGTTCGACATGTTTCAGGCCACCTGGGTGGGGATTTGAACCACAGTCACCATGTGGGATTTGGCTTTTCTCGAGTAGTGTACTTCTGCGTTACAGTCAGCCCATATTTTAATACTTTTAAATTTTGATTGCCACATGGAATTATATTGCCACATCCCCTCCCTTTGTCAACCTGGTTATCTCACTGCTTAAATTTACATTTAAAATTTTGCCATTAACATTAATTTTTTAATATTCTTATTGATCTAATACTTGTATTATTTGTCTCTTCATAACTTTCAATTTTTCATGTGATTATATGATTATAGGAATATTTTATTTGCTTATTTTTTTCTTTTTTTAAGAGTTCAAAGAGACAGAGAGAGACAATGAGAGGGAAAGTGAGAAATCACACCCCCCCCAATGGGAATGGCCATGCTGCAATCCATTCTCTTCCTTTTCCTCCTGGGATCTTGGGCACACATGCACACATGCCCAGCATGAGTTTCAAGCCTCTGGGTCTGGGACTTGAACCATGGTCGGTCATGTCAGAGTCCAGCAACATAACCACTATGCCATATGGTGGTCCCAGAATACTAGTTTTTTAATAAAACATAAAAGCTCTTTGCATAGAGGATATATGCCTTTTGCCAAATGTTGATGCAAGTTACATAAAAGGCAAGTTAAATTAGTCTTTGGGGTTTAAAAATTATCTACTATAATATTTCTTTTACTCCATCTACATATAAACATTTACTTACTTTGAATATATCTTTAATATATTTCAAGTATGATTTGCTTTTCAAAACAAAAGTTCTACCTAAATTTATAGTGATGTATCTAACTCATAAAATGAGGATTAATATCTCATTTTAAATTAATTTTATTTGTTACTATAATTTGACCAGGCTGACAGAGAGAGAGAGAGAAAGGGAAAGTGAGAAAGCAAGCTGCCAGGTCTGAAATTCAAATCACTGTCAGTTATGTGCGAGTCCCGTGCCTGAACCACCATGTCACCTGCTGGCCCAAGATTAATATATCTTAGTGTCATAGCCTAACTTTACATTTTAGGATTCCTACTTAGAAAGTACAAAGGTTGGGACTAGCAGTTAGCATAATGGCTATGTCACTGGACTTCCATGTAGTCGATCGCGGTTCAATGGACCTGGTGGCTTAGAAGTTGTAATTCAGGGTGGACTGGGGAGCCAAATCTCACATGGCTGACCACATGGTTTGAATCCCAGCCCTGATGGCTTGAAAAAGACACCAGGTACATGTGCATGTATGACCCAAAGTCCAACAGGATGGGAAAATGAAGGAGAAGGGCTTGTAGAATGGCCACACCTCATTGCAGGGGCTTCCTCCTCCTCACTTTTGTCTCTTTTCCTCTGATAAGTACATACATCCTCTGGCAAAGTTAAAAAAAAAGTCATAAAAAAATCAGTACATTATTTAAATATTTTATCCTAAGAAAAAATATGTACATATTCAGGCACTTGCAAATTAGATAAAGCACCTAGGAATTTTCTCTGACTGTATTTCCAATGCCTGGAGCTCCCCAGCATCTTTCTTTAATAACCTCATCCATAAAACATCTTCAATTTTCTAGTTTAGACTTCTTTTTTGAAAAGTGATTTCAAAGAAAACTCAAAAGCTACGTGAATACGCAATCGTGGATATACACGATTTCATCCCCAAATTTTGATGAAGTTATGCTTCATTCACAGTGTTTCTTAAGATTTCCCTTTATTTTGTCTTTCCAAATAACCCAATTAAGTGTTTATACATGAGCCAAATAGTTTTTATTTTTTGCTTTATGTAGCATTTATTTAAATTGCTTTAATCTAAAAAATTGCAATAGAAATAATTCAGCCTGGGAACAAATAAAATGATCTTTGATAGCCATATAATTCAAATCTGAGTAGAAATTTAAGGCATAAGAACTAACAAAGTATAAGGGGAAAAGAGTATTTATTAAATTAAGATTTGTGTGAATAGAGGTTGCTTAACAGAATTTCTAATGGCACTGGAGAAAAAACCAACAGCAAGTTGTTAACAGTCAGGCACTAGTTTAAGTACTTTATATATAATAACTTATTTAAGCCTTAATGCTATGAGATAGATATTGTATTATAACTGTTTTACAGATGGGATAAACAAATACAGAAATAAAAGTAAATCATCTAAGGTCACTACCAAGTGGTTTTGCCCAATATCTATGCCCCTATCAAGTATATTCCCTGCTCCTGCATACTATCAGTTTTTCTTCTTTTTAATAGCTTTCTTTTAATTGACTTTGATCCCTCTTTTCATTATTATTAACCCCATACAATGTAAATCTTTATTGGAAATGAAGTGAGCCATAATTATATTTTGTATTTAGAAAGATTTGTCTTACAATGAGAAATATAAATTCACATGGGAAAAAAATGTGGGTTTAGACTATTTGAATGTGCAAAGAAACTTCAAGTTGCTTTACTCAATTATCAAGTTAAAAATAAAATGACCTGGTGGAATGTTACATTACTGGACTCTAACATAGTTGACCATGGTTCGAGTCCTGAACCTGGTGGCTTAAAACTTGCACCAAGCGATGTGCATGCCAAAAATTTTGAGAGGAGAATAGAAGAGAAGGGATTGTGGTGTGGCCATCACCCCTTGGGGATGATTTCTCACTGTCTCTCTGTCTCTCTGTCTCTCTCCAGCAAGCACATGTACCCTATAGCAAAAATCTCCCTAAAAATAAATAAATTAATTAATTAATTAAATAAAGTGACCTCAGTAATACAAAATCACTTTCAGTAACCTCGGTAATATAAAATCACTTTCAGTTAGCCAAGATTTAGGACCATGCTGAGGTCTGTCTGCTTGACTTACGCTGTGTCCCTGACAAGAGAGCAAATTATTTTCCTCTTATTGATTTGCATAAATTATTCCCCAATTTCATTTTAATATTTATTTCTCTGTCATAACTCTTTCCTGAATGATTTAATTAGGTAAGTGAGTTCATTCTTGTCATTCTTGAGGAATTTTCCTCTCCTGTCTCACTTTCTAATACCTTTGAAATACACCTTCTGGACTAGGAGTCAAGCAAGGTACCTCAAGCATAAAATTTAAGGAGGCTCTCACTTCCAGGTCTTCACTCTGCACTTGCACGATCCTGAAAGTGAGTGCCTTCTTAAATGCGGCATCTTGAGATCTCACTTGCCTCATCCTAGCTTTTGGATCCAGAATCAAAGTAGAAGCTACAGAAATCAGTGTAAAAACACGACTGGCTTAAATAAAATTCCTCTCCGATAATTGTCACCGAAGCTCACTTTGAATAAATGGTACAGCCATTTAGGCAAATGCACAGTGATCATTGGCTGTAAGACAGCAAAATGTAAAGTTCTTTTTAAGGCAATGTACTCCTCAGGAAGTCAGTCAAATCGGTTTTTCCCAAATGATGTAAAGTCTCATATATTCATATGCAACTTTCTGTTTATAACGGGAGCAGCATTGCCAGAAGCTGGGGGTAGAAAGGAAGAACTTTTTAATAATATGGACAATTCCTATATTCTAAATAAGTTTTGCAGCTGTACACAGAGTTATTTCGTAGGAAGAAAATCAGCCATAATCTAAATCCCACAACAGTAGAATGAAACCTCCATGCATACAGATAATGTCTAACCTTTATCATTTATATGCTCCTGTGGCTTATTTACATTCATGAATATTTACTATGTGACTTCTTTTGTTATTCAAATATATATGAAATTTCACTTATATGAAATTTAACTTTGACACACTTTTTAAAAGCTTACTTCTTCTATGAGTGAGAGAGAGGGGAGAGGTTTCAGGGAGACAGGGACAGCACCTCTGACAAGGCATGGATTCCTCAAACCCCCACCACCACCCCCAGCCAACCCTGGCTCATGAGCACATACATGTCGAGGAGGTCTCTGGACATCTGAACATGAACCTGAATCATCTCATGTGGGGAAAACCCAACAGAGTGTTGCATTTTACTGCTCTGGTCTCATCTGGCATCTCTTTTTTAAAAATTTTTTAGAGATTTTTGCTATAAGATGCATGTGCATGCCAGAGACAGAGAGTGAGAAACCATCCCTCAGGGGGGATGGCCACACCGCAATCCCTTCTCCTCCATTCTCCTCTCAGGGTCTTGAGCACACACACACACATGTACCTGGCATGAGTTTTAAGCTGCCGGATCCGAGACTCAGTCGTGGTTGACTATGTGCTTTCTGTTTCTCATCTCTGGTGAGCACACACACCCTGTACCAAAAATCTCAAAAAGAAAAGAAAAACAAATCTAGCCTGTGAGCTTCACTCCTTGCCTCTTTCTATTTACTCCTTTTGAGTAGAAGAGAAAGAGTCCTCTGACCAACCAATCGTGCTCTCTGTGGGGCTACTGGGAAACCAGGGCACTGTGTGTGGCTGTGATGTGCTAACTCACAGGGCTGCTCCTCTCTCCTTTACCACTGCTTCCCTCCCACGGATCCCATGGCTTCCCTCGGGCTTCCTCACTAGCCTTCAGGCAACGTTTGGGTGACCCATGAAGAAATGGAAAATCTTGCAGCTCCAGCAAAAACGGTTAGTCTTTATAGCTTTGTCGAGTCTGAAGAAAAGTTATATTCCTGCCCTTCAGATAAAAAGGCAAATTTGTTTACTATAGACCAGAGTAATGGGCTGTGTTTATGTAATTATACGCAAAGACCGTTAACATTTTCTTCCACACTTTTATTTTACTACATTCCTTTGACCTTTGTATATGAAGCCAGTGCTAGATTGTTGTGATGTGGTTAATATCAAAAAAGTCTGTAAGAAATGAATAAATAAACAACAAGCAAGAATTTAAGAAAATTTATCCATTTAAATTAGAATTAATTAAAATTAACTTTTAATTGCAAAATTTATTACTGTAACTCATTAAGAATATGTGTATTTATCTGCTATGTCATAATAACATTTTTTGAATAACAATTTTGCTTCTGCTAAAAATATTTTGGTAATGGATATTAGTTAGTATGGGGCTTGTTCACAGATAATGCATGTCACTAAACCAAATTAAAATTGTAAAGGAAAAGTTTAGATTGAATATTCATTTCTAATATGATCATGTAGTGTCTTGGGCTTTACCACAGCAGATGTAGAGTTTGACCAGAACAAGGCAAAACAAAACAAAGACTAGCATTATGTTAATTTAGTATTCAAAAGCAGTTTTAAAAATCATATTGGGGACTGTATAATTGTTAGCTTTTAAAAATATAGCATTGTAAATAGTCATTTTCCACATAAGGTGACAAAGTCGGACTTACCATATATTTTTATCTTCTGCATCTCCTTTTTAATGTCCTTTCAATTTTATCCCTATTTGAAATATTGATTATATAGAAGTTTATGGTGGACAAATTGTCAGTGTTATGTACTAATTTTATTTTTAATTTAGTTTTGTTATACTTGATTTTTGTCTTGTTTTGTTTTGTTGGCTGTTGTTGAAAGCTATTTGATTACCACAAAGCTTTGTCAGAGTGATACAGGTATTTTTTTCACTTCATTAATTTACTTTTTATTAGATTTCTCTGTGATATGTACTAACATACATATAGCCAACATTTTTATTATAACACATTACATTTGGAAAATTACACATTCTTAAAAATTAAAAAAGTTTGGAATGAACAAATCAAATGTTCACAAAAATTACAAAAAAATCCATGTGTATGTATGTGTAGTTAAATTAGAATTAATTAAAATTAATTTTTAATTGCAAAATTTATTACTGTAACTCTGACTAAGAATATGTGTAGTTTTCTGTTATGTCATAATAACATTTTTTGAATAACAATTTTGCTTCTGCTAAAAAAATGTACTGTATTCATTTGAAATTAATTTATATTTACCTGACTTATTAATCATTTCCTGCTGCTAACACAGAAAGAATCTGAGGAAGGAAGCTGGGCCCAGGTAGGAAATTCATATACTTTAAGAAAATCAATATATTTAGCAGGCTATGAGGATATAAATTAACAGTCTATTGTAACTCATAATATTTTAAATCTTCACTTAGCTCAATATTAGGCTGATATAGATACTTAAATCTTTGTTGTTTAATATTATGCATGTTTTTTTATTGGGTTGTCAGAAAAGTCATGGTGTATTTTTTCTGTCTTTCTATGCAAAAATGTGTTATGACTTTTATGACCACCCAATAAATCACCATATTTTGTAAATATAATTATCATTTCATACCTAGCCGTTTTTGTAAGGATAAATTCCTTTCTTCCCCAAGAGAATGATTTATAAACTTAATTTCTCCAAGATCACTCTGAATATATTTAATTGGGAATTATTGACGTTGGATCTAAGGAAAGAATAAAAAAAAAAATGACTTGTTTGGAGTTCCAGTTAAGGTACAGTGTTGAAGTGTGCGAGGACTGGGTTTGGAGGGGCATGACACCTGAGCACTGCAGACTGCAAGTCACTCCCATTGATTAAGAAGGCCACGTAAGACAAGCATCTGTCTACTTGGAACAAATGTGTGTGTTTGCAAGGAAGCAGTGTGTTTTTTACATGTTGGAGAACTGAAAGTATCTTTCTATGAGATTCAAACCTTTGAATATAGAAAAATTTGGAGTTACTTAGAACTGCATTTAGCAGTATCCTACAGTCACTCTAGACTTTAATTTGGGTACAAATTTCATAGTTCTTAAGAACATACCAAAGAAGAGAAATACCTGAATTTTCAGTGGAAATATGTGTTATAATTAGATTTGTGAATTTGTGGTATGATAACAAACTAATATAAAATTATAAAATTAACAGAGTAATAGTCATTTTTTAATTGGTTTAGTGGTGATTGTTTTGGCTTTCATTTTAACTCTTTTGAATAGTATTTAACAAGATTAGTTCATAGTATTATATTAAATAGATTATAAAAGTTTTTTTATGTACCACTTCAAATACCTAGTCTATACTGACTGATTTCTACAAAAAAAATTGGTTTATAATTCCCAATGAATTTTATGGAACACTGGCTATATGCTTTACTAAGTTACAACATAAGGTCCATCTAAAGCTTCAACCATCTGTTTCTCTAACTTCATTGCTTCTTTTTCTATTTGTTTATCGAGGTTTCTATTTACATTGAAATTTACAACAGGGGAACCAGCAGTTAGTGTAATGGCTATGTCGCTGGACTCCCACGTAGTTGACCACGGTTCATGTCCCAGACCCGGTGGCTTAAAACTCACACCGGGCGTGTGTGCGTGTGTTCCCAAGATCCCAAGAGGAGAATGGAGGAGAAGGGATTGCGGCGTGACCATCCCCCCTGGGGGATGATTTCTCGCTTTCTGTCTCTATGTCTCTCTCTGTCTGACGAGCGCACGCGCCCTATAGCAAAAACCTCTCAAAAAAAAAAATTTACAACAGTATCCATAGTGGAGCAAGATGGTGGAGTATTAGCTGATGGGTATTAAAAAAAGAAAAACCAGTGCAATTTAAAAATCTTTAAAGCCCAGAGTTTGTATTATATCTTTACTCCTAAGTTTTTCCTTAAAAATACATATCTAGACAAAATGTAATTCTTTATGAGAATACAAAATTCATAGTCAATCGTTTTCTGTAGACGATCACTTTAATACACATATGCAGTTCCACCTTGTACCAAAGTAAATCAAATTCTTAGAGGTGACATATTATTTATGCTTTGTTTCCACATATCACAATAATTAAGTATCAGCTATAGTAATAGATAACATCCTCCAATTACCATCTCATTTTATTGGTCAAGAAACTTGACTGCTATAAAACAATTCTAGTGTCCTGTTTTTCTACAGACCCTGGCTTATGGAGATATGAACCATGAGTGGATTGGAAATGAATGGCTTCCCAGTCTGGGGTTACCTCAGTACAGAAGTTACTTCATGGAATGCTTGGTAGATGCAAGGATGTTAGATCACCTAACAAAAAAAGATCTCCGTGTCCACTTAAAAATGGTGGATAGCTTCCATCGGTAGGTTTTCACCCAAGAATAATTACAACAAAACAATAATTTATGAAATACTTTTACTAAAACAAAACTAGATGTTTCGGAAATAGAAAATATGTACTATTTAAAAGATCTATGTACATCTATTTAGAAAACTATTTTCAGGGGCAAATTTCAGGGACTACCTACTATGGAGCTGTGTACGTATTGTGTGCTCAAAGTTTATGGAAGTAGACATGCAAACAATTCTCTCACAGCTTTTGTTTTCCCAGGTCTTTAGTAAATTTCACGTTTGTGAACTTTATAGGTGTATGAGTCCATATTACAAAATTATTCACAACTATTTATATCTTGAACTCGTATGGTTGTAAATTGTATAATTTAGGATATACTAGAAAAAGTTTAAAAAGAAATTCTCTAAAGGTTATATTTATACTTATTATTTTTTTGCCTTTTAGTGCTTTTACTTATTTGCATGAGTTTTGAGAAAAAAATAAATTATACAGTGAGTTATTAGATAGCTGTGAGGACCCAGATGAATAAAAAACAACCTCTTTTTTAAAGCTGTTTACCATATAGGAGGTGAAAATGATTTGTTATTATATAATACCACATCATAAATGCTATGTCATAGCTTGATATTCTTATATATTGTCTGACAAAATGATAGTTGAATTTCAGTTATTTGTATCACATATAGTTGATAATGATAAATTTATCAACATAAATTTAGATGATTTTTGGCTTGGAGAACTATACTTGGTCCTATCCTGTCCAACATTCAATCAATGGATAAAATAAAGATGGTGTAAAAATCTCATACAGAGGATTTTTTCAATGTTTCTGGAAGGGCCACCTCATGGCTTTTGGATTAAGGGAACCAGATCCCACATAACTGACCCTGTGGTTAGAATCCTGGACCTGAAGACCAGCAGTTGGCATAGTGGCTATGTTGCTAGACTCCCATGTAGTCGACTGCAGTTCAAGTCCTGGACCCAGTGGATTAAACTCATGCCAGACGGGGGTGCAGCCGTGCCCAAGATCCTGAGAGGAGAATGGAGGAGATGGGATTGCAGTGTGGCCATCCCTCCTGGGAGGTGATTTCTTGCTTTCTGTCTCTCTGTCTCTGTCTTTCTGGCGAGCACACATGATGGTCTCTAAAAACCTCTCCCAAACAAACAAACAAACAAACAAAAAAGAATCCTGGACCTGTCACCTTAAAACAAACCTGGTAGGGAACCAGCAGTTAGCGTAATGGCTATGTCACTGGACTCCCACGTACTCCACCGCGGTTCACGTCCCGGACCTGGTGGCTTAAAACTCACGCCGGGTGCATGCGAGTGCGCACCCAAGATCCCAAGAGGAGAATGGAGGAGATGGGATTGTGGCGTGACCATCCCCCCTGGGGGGTGATTTCTCGCTTTCTGTCTCTCTGTCTCTCTCTGTCTGTCTGGTGAACGCACGTGCCCTATAGCGAAAACCTCTAAAAACAAACAAACAAACAAACAAAAAAAACCACACCTGGCACATGTATAGGCATGTCCAAAATCTAGAGCGGACAAAGAAATGAAGGAGAAGGAATTGTGGCTTCTTCTCCCAAGATACCACTGGGGTATACTTCCTCCCTCTTCCTCTCTCTGGCAAGCACACACAAATGGCAAATAGAAAAATAAAATATGAAAGAAGGTTCATAGCAAGTGCATATATAAAAACACTATCGAAAGATTTCAAAATTTTTGTACCAAAATAAACCTGGGCTGTAATTCCATTTTCTACATGCTGTTTGAAGTCCCCATGTATGTTGATGACATAAAATTAGGATACATATAAATAATTAAGACTTTTTATTAAAACTTATGAAGATATTTTGAATTTCAGTGTAGTTATTGGGCAGTAGAGATAAATATAACAGTTTTTAATAATTGAAAATGCTAGATTGAGAATACATGATTTAATAGAAGTTCAGGTGAATAAGAGAATTTAGAGTTCACACAAAAAGTCCTCAGATTTGGCTAATGGCCTGACAAGGTATCTTTAGATTATGTTTGTTGGCAGAGAAAATAAAAGTGCTTAATAAATGTAGTGAGGTGACAAAAAAAAAATGGCATTCACTTAGGCAATAAATTATGTTCTCGTTTTATTTACATTTCATCACTGTACATCTTTGCAGCATATAAAAGGAATCTTCCCAGCATGAATATACTGCATATTAATCCAATCAAAATATTATCATAGACATCATCCTTCACATGTAATTTTACACTTTTGTGTTCGTTAAATATTTTTATTTTTTCTTTCCCCTTGATTCCCCTCTCCCATTCCCCACCATCCTCCCACACTTTCTCTATTATCTGCAGTTGTTCTCTCTTTATACATTCCAATTTTTCAGTTTCTGTCATAGAGTGCATAAATGGGGACATACAGTGCTTCTCTTTCATAGTCTGGCTTGCTTCACTCAGCATTAAATTTTCCATATTCTTCTACTTTCTATCAGATGCCAAGATCTCATAGTTTTTATGACTGAATAGTATTCCATTGTGTTTAAGTGCCACACTTTTTCAATCCATTTACTTGTTCTTGGATATTTGGGTTGATTCCATGTCATAGCAATTGTGAATAATGTTGCAGTAAACATAAATGCATAAGTGTTTTTCTGATTGAGTGTATTCCTGTCCTTTGCATAGTTACATAGGTGTGGAATTGCTGGATTGTATGATAGTTCTGTTTCCAAGTTTCTGAGGAATCTCCATGTTGTTCTCTACAGTGGCTGTACTAATTTACATTCCCACCAACAGTGTAGGAGAGAGTTCCCTTTTCACCACAGCCTTGCTAGTATTTGTCATCCTTTATTTATTTATTTTTTAATCTTACCCATTCTGACTGGAGGTAGATTGTATTCCATTGTGGTTTTGATTTGCATCTCCTTTATGATAAGGGAAATAAATTATTCTTGGTGAAATGCTAAAAGTTAGGGAGGAAGATAAATAAATTAAAGATATATAACTTGGACAAGGGAAGACTTTAGATAACTCTTATGTTTTAGGCTCCTTATCATTTGGTTAAAGAACAATGTTTTATTTGTTGAACCTGTGCATTTCTAGTTCAAATAGGTGTAGACCCTAGGGAAGTGATTTCTATTCAATTAAAAAAAAAAACTTTGTAGCACTCTGAATTGCCCTATAGCATACACATTGTAAGATAGTGAGTTCCCTGTTACTAGAAGTTTAGGCCTTCAAACTGTATGGTTGCATTAGGCAATTTTAGAATATTTTAAGAATTTCTGAGACACATTGTGTCTAGTTTTTTATACTTTACCAGATCAAGTTTTAGTGCTTTTTAAAATTTTAATAATTATTTTTATAAAATCAAGTATTTAAAAAAATTAAAATTGTTCCAATGCAGAGTGCCAGGAAATACATAAGCTTCATCTTTACATTAGGCTGAACTGACTTAAAGCAGATAGTGTCTGACTACATTCTATATCCCATGATCTTTTCAGTCCAGTTTTCTATCAGACAGGCATTGTCACCATATTATGTATTCTCGTTATAGAACAATCTTATATTACATAGACAAAATTGGAAGAAACTAACCAAGAACCACTGGTTTAACCTTTAGTTGCCTGATATCTGTGTTGGCTATTACATCACTATTTCTGGCATCCCATTGAATAAGCTTGTTAGGGCTACCACAATAAAATATACGGACTGGTTGATTTAAACAACAGAGATTTATTTTGTTGCCATTTAGGGGGCTGAAAGTTGGAGATCATAGTGTCCATGGGTCTGGTTTCTTCTGACGCCTCTCTCCTTGACTTGCCAATGGCCATTCTCTCTCTGTGTCCTCACATGATCTTTCTTCTGTGGGTGTACATTCTTGGTGTCTCTGTCCAATTTCCTCTTCTTATAGTGCATCAGTCAGCTTGGATTAATGGCCTCATTTAACTTGATTAGCTCTTTAAGGTCTCCATTTCCAAATAAAGTTCTCATTCTGACATTGAGAGTTAGAGTGTCAATGTTTAAATTGTGAGGAATACACTTTAGCCCATACCTACCTAATGTACCTTTTCTCTAATTCTGAAATATTTGAGTCATCATTGTTCTTTTTAGAAATTTAAGGCATAGGTAGAAATCCAGTTCTTGACTGTAGCCTGGTCAGTATGTATGCCAAATTTGTGTCTATTCCTTAACAGTTTAGAACTCTCTCTAACAGTCAATGTGCTTTATTTACTCTGGGGAGAGTCTTTTTTTCCTACTACACTCCCCCACATTTTTTATTTATTTTTTTGAAAGGTTTTTGCTATAGGGTGCATGTGCTCGCCAGACAGACAGAGAGAGACAGAGAGACAGAAAGCGAGAAATCACCCCCCGGGGGGATGGCCATGCTGCAATCCCTTCTCCTCCATTCTCCTCTCGGGATCTTGGGCATGCACGCACACACGCCCAGCGTGAGTTTTAAGCCACCGGGTCCAGAACGCGAACTGCGGTCAACTACGTGGGAGTCCAGCAACATAGCCATTATGATAACTGCTGGTCCCCACATTTTTATATCTAATACCACTAAGTTTTCTCATTTCTTTTCTCTCTTTGATTTCTGGATCTTCTTCTCATGCACATGGCTCTTGTCATTATTTTGGCAGTCTATGTAATTGTATCCCTTATGGAGTCACACTCCTCTTTGCTTCCTCCCATGGATTTTGAACTCTAGACAATATGTCTATGTCACAACACATATAAAATTTCATCTGTTGTCCTGTGTTCATGAAGGTCTATCTTCCTTAATAACCCATTCTTTGCTACCTGCTTAAAGATCAGTTTGCTGCTCTTCCACGCACAGTTTCTGTGTTGGCTGACTAGTTCCTTTTACATACTTGTGTATCGCTTAGAGTTGTTAGCTATTTTGTTTTGGTATGTGGTTCTCTATCTTATGTCTTAACATGTTTTTTTTTTGCTATTTTTCTCATCAGCTAAAAAACAGTATCTCTTTCTATGTTCTTGTTGACTTTATAACGGAGACTATAAATAACTCAAATGAGAAAAATAGTAATTTGTACATGAGTAGGAGCCGCTAATTGGAAGGCAAAGGCATATATATGCTTATCCATGATTATTTAAAAAAAAAATTTAAGAGAAATTTTTGCTACAGTGTACATTTGCTCGCCAGAGAGACAGAAGAGTCAGAGAAACAGTGACAAATCACCCTCTGGGGTGATGGCCATGCCACAGTTTCTCCTCCTCCATTCTCCTCTCAGAACCTTGAGAATGCATGCACATACATTCAGCATGAGTTGCAAGCCACCAGGTCCAGGATTCGAACTGTGGTTGGCCATGTGGGAGTCTAGCAATGTAACCATTACACCATCTGCTGGTCCCCAAAACATTTTTTTAAATTTAAATTAGAAAACAGAATTTCTAGCCTTTAGAAACATTATGGGCTTAGAATAACTGTAATTTAATATCTCTCTGATACTACAGAATATAATGTGAAATATAATTTATTAACCTACTGTCCTAAGAAATAGTGCATAGTATTGCCTACACTTAATTAAAAAACATTATTCACCTGCTGAGTAAATTTAAAATGTTTACTTCTTTTTTAATAAAACAATAACAGGACAAGTTTACAGTATGGAATTATGTGCTTAAAACGGTTGAATTATGACAGAAAAGAACTAGAAAGAAGACGAGAAGCAAGTCAACATGAAATAAAAGGTAACTAGTCTTTCTTCCATATCAATTGCCTTTTTTCTGAGGTTTTTAGCTTTCATTCTTACAAACCTAAGATGCTCTATGTGTTACAATGGTCTTTAAGTAACCTAATTGTTTGGCTAGACGTACCATCATTTTTTTTTTTATTCTATTTCTATTAACAACACAGAAAAGACTACCATCACATTAGATAGTGACTGTCCCACTGGAGAATACTCTTGGTTTTTTGAATGTAGATGTATTCCTCTGAACCTATTAATTATACATTCTGTTTGTACTAAAGATGTCTCCATGTAGATATTTTTGTCAAACTTTTAATGGAACATTCTCATTATGATTCAGAGAAACATGATATATAACTTTTATGGCAGTTCATCTTTGGTTTATAACATTTGGATTTTATTTCAGTGCCCCCAAATTTTATTTTTGTTAATATAGTTGTAGAAAATCTGTGGGAATTTTATATGGAAATTATGTCAGCATATTTCACCATAAACTAGACTAGTCCCTTAATAATTTGGACTGGGAAAACTTTTTAGGAGTATTTCTAATTGTTGTGGCTACTCTGTGTAGAAAAATATTTTATTTAAGAAAAGACACTCCATTTTAAAGATTTATTAAAGTATATATTTAATAAGTAATCACTTAAATGTAAGAAATGCCTTAATACATAGGGAAAATAATGGTTTAAAAACAGGAATATGTTGGGACCAGCAGTTAGCGTAATGGCTATGTCACTGGACTCCCATGTAGTTGACCGCGGTTCGAGTCCTGGACCTGGTAGCTTAAACTCACGCCGGGTGCATGTGCGTGCATGCCCAAGATCCCAAGCGGAGACTGGAGAAGGGATTGCGGTGTGGCTATCCCCCTTGGGGGGTGATTTCTCACTTTTATCTCTCTGTCTCTCTCTGTCTGATGAGCTCATGCACCCTATAGCAAAAACCTCTCAAAAAAAAAAAAAAGGACTAAGTTAGGGTCTATACTATTAGATATCACCGTATTTTTATTGTTATTGTTGAAGAAAAAAAATAATTGTTGGTTTTCTCTTTTTGTTGTAAAAATAATTGATCTACTGGGCCAGCCAGGTGGCATGGTGGTTAAGGCAACTGGGTCTCACATGACTGGCTGCATGGTTTGAATCCCAAACCTGACAACTTGAAAATCCTGCTGCATGTGTGTGCATGTCTGTCCAAAATCCTAAGAGGAGAATGAACTGTGAAATGACCACCCCCTCATGTGGGGTACTTTTTCACTTTCTCTCTTTCTCTCTCTCTCTCTTCCCTTCTCCGTCTCTCTCGGGCAAGCACACAACCCTTATTGCAAATTTAAAAAGCAAAACAAAAATCATTGATCCACTTAACATTGCTTAAAAGAGCAAAAAAGGCTTATTAAGAGAAATAAACTAAGATTTTTTGAAAAAAAATGTTGATATTAAAACTATCTATCAGTTTTATTTCTATTTCCTATTATCCAAGAGGTGATATTTGCAGTCATTTCATCAAATTCAGAGGGTGCATTACATTAATTATTCAAAGTTAATATAAGTCTTTTTACCTTCACTTTCTTTGGGGCTTACTTTAGATAAGAAAATAATACATATTATGTGTTATCCCTTCCTCCTTAATATTAAAGTCCAACACTATTTTATTCTTTACTGGTTTAGGCTTCTAAAATTTTCATTTGTGGAAAACAATGTCAGAAATTTTATCTTCGGTGGTTCTTGGACAGCACAGTAGTTCCAATAGGATGGACTCAAATACATGTAAAAGTGATTGGTTAAAAATATTTTTCCATACGTGATTCATCAGAGAGTAGCTGTACGTACAATAGATTTTCTTGTAACACTTCATTCTTAGGAGCAAGAAAGTGTTTTTCCATTATCAAAACTGTGTTGTTTGATTCAACTTTATTATTTGGGGGCCCTAGGAAACTGCAGGTTGTTTTCAGACCGTCATTGTACAAATTAAAATTTGGGAATTAATGGACTAAAGATAAACCCTAGAATGAAGTCTGTTTTTGACCTAACAGGATGTCTTAGCACATAAATAGATTTTATCCATGGGATACCACTTCCCCCTCCCCCCCCCGAAGGTTTTGTTTGTTTCAGTTAGGTTTTATCATGCTTGGTCTTACTCCATGAAATACTTCACATATAGCCAGATCTAAAGGAGTTTTTATCCATGGGATTCCCCCCCCCCCCCCCCCGAAGGTTTTGTTTGTTTCAGTTAGGTTTTATCATGCTTGGTCTTACTCCATGAAATACTTCACATATAGCCAGATCTAAAGGAGATGCATTAACCGTTTGGCCCTACTTCAAATGTTATATTAGTATTTGGCAGTTGCTGATAAGAGTGTAGCCCTGAGAAAAAACTGTCATGATTCACTATGATTATACACAAATTCCATTTCATAAGGAACTGCGAGTAAAATAATAAATAGCCCGTTTCCTATAACTGATCTGATGACATTTACAGGAATAACACTCAACTGTGAATAGGAGTCCTGTTATTATCAGAAGTGTTAATTAACCTTGGCCTTAATAAACCATTTTCTGTAGTGAGGAGACCATGTGAATATCAAGAGTGTACTAACATTTAATTTGTTGCTAGGCAACGGTCAAGACTTATCTCTAGCCATTTATTGTTTAGGTCAAGAGGATTCCTCCAAAGCTTTAAAGTCAGCATAAATTTTAATTGTACATGGAACTAGATTTATCGAAAGGGGTCTGATTTACAAAATGAAAACAAAGGTAGGAATGGCCGTATAGCATATTAGTTAAGTGCTATGCATTGGGAGCTAGATCCTCAATGGCTGACAGTAGTTCCAATCCCAGCTTTAGTGGCTTGAAAAGCATATTGAGTGCACGTGTATGGATGCCCCAAATCCTGATGGGATGGAGATACGTAGGAAAAGTATTGAGATGTAACCACACCCCAGTGGGAGGTTCTCTCTCTGATGAGCACATGTGGCCTCTGGAAATTAAAAAAGAACATGTGGTTGCATTCTGAAGAAGTCTGGACTAGTGCTTTATTTGCATTCATTCCAAGAATGGACTATTTTATATATATGATCTCTTGTTTTTTGAAAAAGTTTATTTCTTCATGAGATAGAGAGTCAAAGACAAGCTCTTCCAACTGGTTTTCAAGTCATGATCCACTCCGTTTGCTTTAGTCCAGATCATCGTGCTAGTGTTTTAATTTTTCATCAAGAACAAACAGAGAGGCTAGATAAATCAATACAGATCAAAACATAGACATTTGGAAGTAGTAGAAATTAACCAAGACAGCCAGAACTTATGAGGCTATGACCTTTGAGAAAAGAGAAATGCATTGAGATAAATGGTAAACCTGTCATTCTCTACTGCTCTTCCCTGAAAAAAGAGTGAGGGGAGTGAGGAAAGCAAAGGAAACTAAAGTTTAGATGTGCCAAAGCTGGCAACCCTGAGGAGCCAAGATCACTGAGAAAAGGGAAATAAGTAATCCTGATATTTTATACAATTTTCCTCTTGAAATATTTGTAAACTTCTAAGAAGCATGGAATTAGAAACTAAAAATTGGACATGAGATCTAGGTTTCTAAAATTGTATTATATTAAGGATTTTTGTTAAATAAGTAGATTTTTATCTGCTCTTGGCACACAAAAAAAGTAACTATTAATATTTGAGATGGTAGATCTGCCCACTGTAATGTCCATTTTATATTTTTCTATATTCCATAACATCACATTGTAAACCTCAAATGTACACAATAATTGAAAAACAAACAAAAAAGAATGTAGAAGCCAAAGGGTAAGAAAGCTAAAAAAAGGTTTTGGTAATCTCACTATAAAATAGTCAAAAACCAGAGGTCAGAGCCACCCAATATGCTTTCAGTTGAGATCTCTGAAGGAGTCTCATTTACGTCTTTCCTAGGATTAAGGGAAAGTTAAATAGAGCACAGTTTATTTTGAAAGATTGCAATTGGAATTCAGCATGGATTTATCTTAGTCTTTGACTGGATTAAGTTCTTCTCACCTAAAAGTATGTATGTCCATCAATATAGTAGGCAGCATTAATACATTTTCTGATGAACAGAATCTGAGGGGCTACTTTGCCAGAAAAACCCAAATAGAAAAGAAATATTAGAATGAATTATTCAGACAAAAGGAAAATGGATCATAATGACAATAAAAAGTACAGACAAGATAGAGAACTAAAAGAATGCATGAGTAATTTTGAGGCAAAGGAGTAAAGGAGGAGAATACCTGTAGGGTTTTAAATTTACACAGAGTTAAAATACATAATAATTCAAAAGACAGGGAGTAAATGCAATTAAATTGTTCAAAGATCTTTGCATTAGCAAGAAAATAATAACAAGACTAATTTATGGTAGACTCAAATAAGTCAAGGATGTATATTAAAAGCTTTAAGTGTGACTATCTAAAGAATAAAGTATAAAAACAAGCTGATAGACTAAGTGGGAAAGTAAAATGTAAAAAACACAGATAATAAAATAGCAAGAAAGCAAAGGAACAAAGGACAGGTAGGACAAACAGGAAGGTGGTAGATATCGTGTGAAATATCTGAATAATAATATTAAAGGGTAGCGCCTCACTAATCCAATTAAAAGATTAAAAGACAAAACAAGACTAGAATTTGTGCCTGTAACTCTAGGCACTTAAAGGCTGAGGGACAATTATAATGAAAGTTAGTGATTAAAAGCTTGTGGCTTGCCTGGGCACTATAGCAAGACCCCGTCTTAAAAAGCCAGATGTGGAGACCAGTAGATGGCATAATGGTTATGTTGCTAGACTCCCACATGACTGACCATGGTTCAAGTCCCAGAACTGGTGGCTTGAAATTCACAGTGGGTATGTGTGTGTGTGCATGCCCAAAATCCTTATGGAGGAGGAAAGATTGTGGCATGGTCATGCCCCCTGGGGAGTGATTTTTTTTGCTGTCTCTCCAGCAAGCACATGTGCCTTATAGCAAAAATCTCTCCCTTAAAAAAAAAAAAAAAGCCAGATGTAGTGACCAATCCCTGTCAAACCAAAACACACACACACAATGACATGTTATATACAACATACAATGACATGTTATATACAATGTACATATCTTAAATATAAGAACATAGAAAATTTAGAGGAGACAGCATATGCAAATACTAACCAAACTTGCTATGATTTTTCTATCAGAATATAGACTTTAAGGTAGAAAATGTACTAGAAATAAGTTGGGTATTTTATAATAATAAAAAGGAAAATACAGCAAGTTTTTATGTATCTAACATGAAAAGCAAAAACGGACAGATCTAAAAGTAGCAGATATTTTCACAATTATAATGCAAGTTAGTGATTAAAGCTACAATGAGATAACTGTTGTATTTGCTATAATGAAGAAGGACACATTGTTTGGCTTAAACAATAAAATTTATTGTCTTACAGTTCTAGAGGCTGGGAGTTTGAGGTCAAGGTGGTAGCGGGTTCAGTTCCTCCTGAGGGCTGCAAGGAAGAATCCATTCCATGTGTCTCCCCTCGCTTCTGGTAGCTAGGTGGCCATCACTGACATTCTTGACCTTATGAGAGTATCAGCCTGATCTCTGCCTTCATTTTCATGTGGCATTGTCCACGTGTAATGGTCATTTTTCATTTCTCCCGTTTTATAAAGGACACCAGTCATATTGAATCAGGGCCTAATCAAATGACCTCATTTTAATTGCTCATCTCTATGAAGAGCCTATCCCCAAATATTTACATTCTGAGGTTCTGAGTAGGGGGCGGTTAGGACTTCATTATAAATTTTGGAAGAGACCCAATTTAACTCATAATATTACCTTCCTACCATAATGACTAAAATCCAAAAACAAAACATAAAAAGTGCAAAGTATTGATATTTTCATGTAAGTGTGATGCAGTTTTTTTTGCTTGTTTAGGTTTTTGCTATAGGGTGTGTGTGCTCTCCAGAGAGAGGGAAAGTGAGAAATCCCCCCCCCCAATCCCTCAGGAAGGATGGTCACACCACAGTCCCTTCTCTTTCATTCTCCTCTGGATTTTGGGAACACACACACACAAGCACCGAGCATGATATTGAAACCGCCAGGTCCGGGACTCAAATCATGGTCAGTTATTTGGGAATCTACCACCTTAACAATCATGCCACCTGCTGGCCCCAGTGTGATACAGACTTTTATCCTTACGGGTGCAAGATTAAGTTGTGGGAGTGAAATTTGTTTAGCAATATCTGGTGACATTAAAAATATTTAACATATGTATATAATTTATATAAGTATATATAATGACAACTTATGACTCAATGGTCTCAACAGTTCTATTTCTCATTCAACCACAATATATTGTAAATATGCACAACAAAATACACGTGTAACAATATTCAATGTTAATAACTCAAAGCAGAGTCCACCTAAGTGTGCACGGACAATAGAATGGATACATTGTGGCATAATCGACAGTATACTAAACAGTGATAAAAATAAAAAAGCCATTGCTCTTTTCCAAAGCATAAATGTCACACCGAGTGAAAGGCATAAGCCAAAGTACATATTGCATGATTTTATTTATAAGAAGCTCAGAAGAAAAAAAAATCGAAAGTGATCTGTAGTAACAGGAGTCAGAATTATGATTACAGCTGATTCAGGAGAACAACTGAGAAGGTACAGGTGGGGTCCTCGGGGGCTGCATTATTGCTTTAATGTTAAACACAAGAAAACCCAATTTAGTTATAAATGAATGCATTAGGACAAATAATGAATGCTTTTGAAAATCCTGAGCAATATAAAAATACTCTCCCCACATCCCCCAAATACTACTCTGACTTTGTAGATAATTGAAGAGGGGGGGGAAGTTGGCTAATATTTCACAAAATATGTTTATAGTTTTTTTTTGAAAAAGTATATGTTTTATTCAGAAAGAAAAAAAAGGAAAACCTATTTTACTAATAATAATGATTTCTTTCCCTTTCTACAGGTAGGAAAAAAGTTTTCATTTCTCATTTCCCTTTAGGTTTCTTAAAATTCTTTTCTGTATAATATTCTGGTTCTATTTTATTTAGCATGTGCCAACTTAAATAGGAAGAAATGGAAGAAATAAATAAAATATACTTTAATATATTTTTGTCTAAAAAAGACACACACAGGGGCCAGCAGGTGGTGTAGTGGGTAAGGCACTGGACTCCCACATGACTCACTACAGTTCGAGGCCCAGAACTGATGATTTGAAACTCCCCAGGTGCTCATGTGTACATCTCCAAGATCCCGAGAGGAGAATGGAGAATGAATTGTGTCATGGCCATCCCCCCAAGAGGGGAGATGTTTGACTTTGTCTCTCTCATGAGACACATCTTCTAGTTTTAGAAGATAAAAAAGTGTTTTGTATAAAATATTACACTTCCAATAACAGGAAAGCAACTTGGGACCTGACTATTTAAATTTTTCATTGGTTTGTAATTAAAAAATAATGAATTGACAACAGTGTAGTATCAATCTATTGAATTCCTGTATTATCTTACTGTTCTGTTCTTATACATCACTTCAGGGGAAAGAAAAGCATATTCTTTTTTTAAAAAAGAATTTTTAAATCTTTTTATTACTAAATTTTGGCCAAAGAGAGTTAGTGAGAAAGCAAGTTACCAGGTCTGTACATGAACCGTGGTTGGCCATGTGAGAGTCCAGCGCCTTAAGCACCACACCACCTACTAGCCCCAAGAAAAGTATATTCTAGTTCATATGCAATATTTATGTAGTGGTTAATAGACACTTCTGATGAACAGTAGAATCTCATTTTGTTTGATGAAGACACGGATAAGAAATGTCTCCATCTGGTGGTAAAACCACAGAATTTCAGACAGACTGTAGAGCTCTCATATGAAAAGGAGACATGTTCCATGTGATGAACTGGTTGTCATTTAAGTAATTAACTCTGAAAGTATTTTTCTAGGTTGCGACTGGAAAATATTTGTTATTAGAATAATTAATACAAGCTACAGAAGGGAGTCTAGTGTAGAGGGAGTGGATACATCAGTGTGAACGTAACCTGGTCAGACACCTGTGACTCATTTCAGTCCATGATTTTATTATGGAAAATTACGAAAGGATCTCTCTCCTTTCCTAGATGTGCTGGTGTGGAGCAATGATCGAGTTATTCGCTGGATACAAGCAATTGGACTTCGAGAATATGCAAATAATATTCTTGAGAGTGGCGTGCATGGCTCCCTGATAGCTCTGGATGAGAACTTTGACTACAGCAGCCTGGCTTTGTTGTTACAGATTCCAACCCAGAACACCCAGGCAAGCTCCCTTTTGCTGTATTCTTGCAGTGTCCTCATTTATATCATGGCAGGCTAAACTTTTAGGGGGGAAATGCAAATTTATGATTTTCGATGCACATTAGTCCAACCTTTGAAATATGTCACTGGGGTTTTAATTTCAAGCTACTGAGTTTCTAGCCAAAACAAAAATCGTAAAATTAAGCAGAAAGGGATTGAGAGGTTATGTGGCCCAGCCTCCCACCTGAATGCCAGATTCCCCCAAACAATATCCCTGACAGATGGCCTTCAGTCTCTGTGTCTCTGAGCAGCAGTCACTTCTATTTACGTGCCTGAATTATACAGACATTTAGCACTGGGATGACCGTGATTCCCAAACATGGATAATTATGTGCATCAACATAGTCCCTTACAAATTAAAAAAAAAATACTTCCAGTTTATATCTTAGTCCTAAGAAACCTCAAGGGTATAGGAAACCTGAAAGTTTCCCCAAATTATGATCCTTGACCAGGTTTGAGATCTCCTTGTATAAATTTGATAAATTGGCAGTCCAATTTCAGTTTTTATTTGCTCTTTACATATTTCATATAAAATACCCTGTTGGAATAAAGACACACACAATAATGTCTGACCTCAGACATTAAGGTGAGTCTCTCGCTCTACTCTTCATATGCAAAAAAAATTTACCCTACCCAGAATTTGTGGCTAAAATTTGTAATGACTTACTAAAATAAAAGACCCCCCCCAATATGATTAGTAATGCATTCTTAGATAAGTATAACTTATGTGACTTAAAAATGTGTTTTCTGTGATAGTAATTGTAATTTGATGTCAACAGGCAAGGCAGATTCTTGAAAGGGAATACAATAACCTCTTGGCCCTGGGGACTGAGCGGCGACTAGATGAAGTAAGTCTTTACCTGTCATTTAAAAGGAATCCTAAACTGTGTGTGTGTGTGTGTGTGTGTGTGTACACACACATACATACATTATATACATATATAAACACACATATATTTATTTATTTAAATTTGACAAGAGAGGGACAGAGCAAGAGAAGAAAAGTGAGAAAGAAAGGTTACAGGACTCAAACCAGCGCATCCATGTGGGAGTCCAGCACCTGTAACCACCATGCCATCTGCTGGCTTCTAAACGAGTCATTTTTAAAAGATACTTTTTCTTTTTCTTTTTTAAGGAATGGTGTTTAGAAATTAATCAGATGTTTGTTCCCTGGGTGGAATTGAGATTTTTCTTCAGAGTTGTTCTTACATTATGTTACTCATTTTATTTTGGAAGGGACTTTATAAATTTATATATTATCTTTTTACCCATCAGAAACACTAACAAATAATCAAAAAGACTTCTCCAATGAGCTGTGACTATAGAAGATTCAGCACCTTTAAAAATAATAAGCAAAACACTATTATTTATAAATTTACCTTTTTAGTAAGGAATGTTTTATTTCTTAAATATCAGTACATCTTCCCATGAAATTTTAGGATATTAAAAAAGACAACTTGCTTTCAATACATGGATGTCTATTCATAATTTCAGATATCAATATTGAGTTTTCTTTAAAAACAGATGAAGAACATTTTAACAGTCATAAGATTTGAAAGCTATTTTTCATGTATACATAACATTTGCATGCTTAAAAGATTTGGAATATAAACATGTAAGAATGTCCAGAGATGGGTGAACATAAGGGATCTCAACAGACCCTGTGATATTTACATGGTCTTCTGGAAGCAGATGGAATGAAACCTGAGTATGAAGTGGAAAATACAGGGATACATAGTTCTGTGTATCTCAAAGTGCAGGTGTTTCTCAGCTGTAAAGACCAGCTGATCAAATGAATCTTGTGAATAAATTCAACAAAGCCTAAAATGAGGTAATAATTCCATATTCAGACGGGCAGGGAAGATGATCTTGGTATTAAAAAACCCATGCTGTCTTTGTGGAAGAGATTATAAAGAGAGTAGCTCTACAGTCTTGACTTCAGCTAACTTACAATAAACTCTTGTCCCATCAAGAGAATGGTTAAGGCTTTAAAAATGCATTTAATACTTAACTGATTTTATTCTGATTATTTAGCAATCTTTTTACTCCTTACTGTTGTTGATTAAAAGTGGTAGTCTTATAAACTCATACACTTGTTGTTGATTAAAAGTGGTAGTCTTATAAACTCATACTCTTTAAAATACAGTTTTTTAAAAGCCATGAAGTAAATTTTAACTGAATTATTAAAGCTCTGTCATATTGCTACATTCTAAAATGTAGATTGACCTTAAGGAGTTGTCCTGGTAGAGACACTAACCTATGCAGAGGGTCTACTGTGCCAAGTAAATGGGATGTGTCTGTAAGCCTTTAAAATATGTTGCCTCTTTTCATTTAAAAAATATAACACACAAGTTTATCACCCCGACCTTCTAATCTCTATTGCCCTTTATTACGTGTAGTGTGCGCCAAAAATAGCCAAACTTTCTGCCGGGAATGAGTGCGTTTATTTCTGAGTTTCAGTGGTGACATTCAGATTCTAGTGAGATAATTTGAATAGTGCCGATGTACTTCTACAGATTTTGATTTCAAATAAAACTTTAAGGTGTTTGCTGCAGGGTGCATGCACTCACTGAAGAGACAGAGGAAAAGTAAGACATCACTCCCCCAGTGGGTGGCCACTCCAATTGCTTCACCTGAACTCTCTTAGGATTTTGGCATGCATGCAACTGCGCCCAGTGTAATTTTCAAGCCACTAGGTCTGGGACTTGAACTGTGGTCAGTGATGTGGGAATCCAGCGCCTTCATGTGATCTCACTAAAACTTTTCCACCGTCACAGTATATTGAAAGGAGACGTAAGGGATCCTAACCCAAGCACTTGATTTCCTGACTTACTTTATGACATCAACTCACACTACATTAAACACAATGTAGTGTTTATTGTAGTAACTTTATTGCAGAATCAAGAGACGACAGCTCTGAAATTTTGTTTTCTACAAACTTTTGAAAGTCTAGGGAAATTAAAACACACCAGCTGAAAAGAAGGGTAGTAGTCATCTCCTAGCCTGTAAAATAGCTACCAAATTTACATATGCAGATCATTTTATTTTTCCCAGCTTGACTATAAATGTCCATTAACTCGTCAATCTGTGAAGACAGATACCCTGCACTGTGATTCATTTACAACAATGATAATTTAAGCTGGCTATCGACTTTTCCAAAATAAGATCAACACTACAGAATTTGCTATGACTTCAAGTAATAGTCCTTTCCAAATTGAGAAGCTTAGTTAGAAAACAGGATATATGTGGAATCATTCATATTTTCAGACATGAATAGTATTAGCCAAAGGCTAAATTATATATTATTGCTTACCAATTTAGAAAAAAATAATTGTATCTGTACAGAGAAATAAAAGATGATTTTTGCTAAGATTTAACAAAATCATATTATTAAAAGTACCAGAATTATATATATTATGCTTTTAGTAGCACCTGAAATACATATATTTTCTAAGGATGACATCCTGGCTATAAATGTTTGTCAGGAAGTGACAAATTAATTTTCTATCACTGAACTCTAATCAGAAACAGAGTTTCTTACACAGCTTATAGACTATAGTATCCCATGTTAGCCAGACTGCCTAAAATATGAATTTCTTCACAATATATATCTTGTGTACTTGGCACTATTCAAGTATTATGTGACTCAAATGCAGTCTACCCCACAACTGACTCAATTCAGTATATATTGGGTTGTCGGGAGAGTCATCATACGTTTCTGCATAGAAAAGCACAGAAAGATATGTCATGACATTCCCAACAACCTACTAATAATTCCCTACCATATAACTAATTGGCATTTCCAATATCACTTTTGGGATTTTGGATGGCAAACCTTATATTTAAATTTGAATGGAAAATATTATAAGGATATTTGTTTCAAATCTCCTATATTCTCATTTTATAATCAACAGGATTCTCAAAATAAAGCATAATATTCTATATGTCTACTTGAAAGACCAAATGTAAATAATCTATATTACATGTTGCTAAGCACAGCGCTTTAAGCACCTGGACTAGTTCACTTCTTTTCATTACATCAAACTATAACTCTGTACTGACAGAGCGATGACAAGAATTTCAGACGTGGATCGACCTGGAGAAGGCAGTTTCCACCTCGCGAAGTACATGGAATCAGCATGATGCCTGGGTCCTCAGAAACATTACCAGCAGGATTCAGGTTAACCACAACATCTGGGCAGTCAAGGAAAATGACAACGGATGGTATAGTAGTTTTGCATTTCTGCTTATGAAGTAAAAAGCCTTGCCTAGCAATAGCTAGTATAATTCTCTGACCCTGCACAGTTTTCTAGAATTGACTCTTGAGTTGGTTTGCTCTGCTTGTAATTTGCTTTGCTTCCATCAAGAAAAGCTCCTTTGTTAACTGCTAATGCATGAATTCATGGCACTTTATTCACACTTAAAAAATAATTATAACATCTTAAGAACGATTTTGCTAATGTCCACATTGAGGAACAACAGGATGCATGATTTGTGTTCCTTTACTCTTCTGTTTCTAAAGCAAATCATTTGTTTAGAGATTCTATATAGACTAAAAGTCCAGAGAAAATAGAAATTAACTCCATTGTCATACTATATGTATTTTTTTAATACTGAAGGCTTTATATTTTGTCTTTGAAATTCAAACTCATTAGATAGATCAAACTCATTGATCAAGGCAGAAGGCCTTAAATAAACAAGCACAACCATGAGAAGAGACTTAAAAAAAATCAATAGGAATCTCCCAATTTGCATTTCCTGCTGTGGACATTAGATTTGTGTCACATACCTCACAAAGGAAAACAATCACCCTACAGGAGATACAACTTAGAAATAATACTCACAAAATTATTTCTTCTTAGTACACATGAAAGAAAAATAGTCCCACTCTCTTAAGATAATCACCTAGAACTATTTTTTCAAGGTCATGGCTAGTATGGCTTTTAAAATTCATTCCAAAATAATTCTGTGATCTTCTAACTACATTTCTTATACCTTGTTACTATTGTGTAACATGTCAGCAAAACTTCAACATGATTGAAATTAGCATAGACATATTTCAGTACTCGAGAAAGAAATCCACTACACAGAGTTCTGTAGGAGCCATCTTCACAACAAAAACTCAAACACAGGAGCGCTGTGAGGGAGCTGCTCTTGTTACAGCTTTCATCTAAGGAGGAATACATAACAACTTGAAAGCTTAGTTGAATTTTATTGGGATAAATTTTCATGAGGAATGTGAGTGGCTAATACCTGAGAGAAGGAAGGTCTACTAATATGTTCAGGGTCCCTTCATGCAGGGGAAGGAGATCTTTCTCATCTGAAATCTTGTACTGAATCATCCAAGTTCCTCTAAAGCCCTTTTCTCCATTTGCAGTTGCCTCATCAAGACTGCAGAGGTTAGACAACTCCACTGTTCGCACATACTCATGTTGACAAGCCACTCAAAGGAGGCAGCACTGACCTGCTGTGAGTAGTTTCCCTTTGGCTGACAGAAAAAAAAAAAAAAAAAGAAAGAAAGAAAAACAACAACAACAACAACAAAATGGAACCTACATAGACTAATAATTAGACACTATACTCTTTGGTATGGCCTAGCAGTACAGAGGTGAAATAACCCCTTGGAATTGCAAGAGGGGGAAAAAGGAATCTTTATGTCATAACTCTGAATCTAGGATTTCCTGTCACCGTCTGCTGCTCTGGTTTAAGATCTGTCTGTTGATGGCCACCCACTCTGTAATTACACACCAGTGGGTTGCTATTGCACTGTCTTCAACTTTTGAGTAGCATTTCGTTGCTAAGAGTTTGGCACTATACAAATCAGATCTTTTTAAGTAACCAGTTTTATATATGGAAGATAAAGGAGGCAGGTAGTGACTTAAGCAAATTCTGAGAGTCAGTGGCAGAATCAGGAAAATAACTGGAAGCCAAACCTTTTGTATGTTCTTCATCAAGGTGATTTATATTTGTAGAAAATAAACTTAAGTATCTGGGGCATATAGAATAAGAACAAAATAAAAGTACTTTATGAGAATGGAGGATAGGACAAATACAAAACCTTATTATATAACCATAAGCTATAAAGAAGACATTTGTATTCAGAGAAATACCAACTGATGGAAGCTACTTCCAAATCCATATAACAATGGGTTCACGTTGGAAACCAATCTTAAACTGTAATTTTCTGATTTATAAATGTCAAACGATCATAAATATTTTTAGCCTAAAACTGTACTTTACTAAAATTTTCTCCCAGTTTCAGTGAAACTGTATTTTAGCAAAATTTTTTAGCGCAATATTTAGAACAAAGTGTGTGCACAAGGATGAGAAGGGGAAGCAGGTATATGCAAAGGAACAGCTCACCTTGTGCTGTTTATTCATTGCCTTGAACTGAAAGCTCCATGCAATATATTGTTGATCTTTTGGACCTAATATGAAAGCTGATATGCTGCTTTATGCAGGTCATTATTTACAGCTGATAAAACAAGAAGCACCCAGATAAGAAATATAATTTCAGAATGTACAACCCTAACATTAAAATTTAATTATGGCCTATAATTTGGCAACTAATTAAACACAATCTAAAGTATATAATAATTTGGCTAAATAAGAGACTTTCCCTAAACTGTTTATAATAGATTCTACACATAATTTGATCATTTCTCCAGAAACTGAATACTTCATCAATTTACAAATGACTAATACGTTCAGTAGTGCTTGCTTCTTAGCTCTTGACTGATGGGTAGAATTACTCTTTTAACTATTTGCAATCTATATTTTGTGCATGGCATTCTAGTTCATATTTTCTAGCTTTTACCATTAAATGAGATAAGAGTAGTTATATACAAGAAGTAAATCTAGGATAACCCAATTTTTATTTTGGTGAAACATTACCACTTTTGGTATTAAAAACATTTCAAAGCATCCTATTTGTTTCTTTTATATCAGTGATAATAATCGTGTTTTCCCTAAGTACACTATGGCTGGAGGACTTGATGATGCCAGACCACTGACACAGATTCTTTAAACTCTTAAGTTTGTCACAATTAAAGTATCTTAAAATCGCTGATATATATGAACTAGAATATAAGTCAATTCCATGGAATTCAGTCAACTCAGTCCAATTTATTAGTAAGTTGTAAACATTTCAGAGAGCATGTGACATTTTGCGTGACTACCTTTGTTTATATTACCACCATACTTTCACAAAGTTGATCTAATCCTATCATTTGTTAAGCTCCTCTGCACAAAAATGGAAAATAGCAAATGATCATTACTGAGTCATTGGTCAGATTCTAGCTGATTTCCTGTCCATTACCTTTCAGACAAGCAGGCAGGCTGCATGGAGGTATACTGCAGAGTAGTGGAATGGGTTTGCCAGTCTGGGACCGCTTAGTGAACTAATGCTGTCCATTACAAATTTTAGATGTCGTCTTTTCAGTCTACTCTACCTAAAGTGCACTACCATCCCAGAAGACGAACAGGGAAGACCTCCGTGAAGACTGCATTCTAGTAATGACAAGGAATGGTTCATTAAAAGCTGAACACATGATTTTGGGGGGAGTCAGAGATGGAGTTTGATTAGTTTACTTAAAATTGTAATAAAATGCGTAAGTCATTTGAATAATAAGCATCATCTACATCATAAATTCTGTACAACAGATGCTTCTATGAAATGGAGCCACTTGTTTTTTTTCATGTTTTATTGTAATATACTAGGCATTTATGTATTACTGTGTATTTCTTTTTAAATGTGTAAGTCTTATGTAAATGGATATAAATATGATTTTTTAACAAAATAAAATATATGGTTCATGGAGTCTTGAGTGCAAACATTTGACAATTCCAAGTACTGTTTGTATTTTACCATTCCACCATTTTTACAGTTTTTGAAATGTAACAGTCAAATCAATATGTCTCCTTGGAGCATGGACCATGCTTCGACATGTTTCTCCTTCAAGTCTGTCGATACTTAAAGCTGAACACCTGCCTCTGATCATGTAAAAAAAAGAAAAAAAAAAAAAACAAAAAAAAAAAAACCAAAAAAACAAAAACAAAAAAAAGGAATGATTTAACTTGGAACTGGAGCCAAAAATAGACCTTTAAAGGCAATCAGGGATGTCCTATATCTTAAAAAAAATAGCACTGTGATGGCTCGATCTCCTTTTCGATACAAAACAAAGCCGAACTGTTTACAAAAATTAAATTAAAAGCAATTATTTAAAAAATTTATATGAAGAAAAATTATCTTGTTACCTATGGACCAAGAAAAAAAAAAAAAAAACCTTCTTTACTAAGAACCACATGTTCATTCAAATCTTTTAAACTGCCAGCCAGCACTGGACAGTGAACATCAAACCACAATAGAGTCTGAGGATCATCTCCACCAGGAAAAGACAAAACCCTTCCCCTTCGTAAATGTAACAGGGCATTAGCCAGACTCACATCTAATATTATAAGCTTTTAGCCAAGATGGCCTTGTTGCGACTTCCCTGAAGTCAGTTTTTAATCAGAGGAAATAAAAGAAAGACAGAATGATTAACATATATAGTGTATAAAAGTATAGAAGAGTAATCTCTTCCCTGTGGCTTTATTCGGTGGTGTTACTGTTGTTTATTCTTTGTTTATATGGGGAATTCAAAGTAAAATCTCTTTAATAATGCCATTTATCTAACTGCTGATTTTCTGCTGCTTGATCTTATTAAGCGCAAGATGTCATTAGTAATTTCTTTTTGTATTTTACTTTGCTCTGTTTGCACGTACACTACATTTGTTTTGATGTCTATTTTTGTTTAACAGATTCAGTCAAAAACGGTAATGGTAACAGAAACCCTCTCCATTGTCAATAAAAAAAAAAAAGAAAAAACACTTCCAGTTCTCTGTTTAAACTCTGTTTTCTAGTCACACAGTTTGACTATCTACCTGAACTGTCACAAAAAACGTTCTCCCAGTGACTCTCAATCTACTATTCATTATCGTCAGTGGTAAATCTGCCACAAGAGGGAGTACTAAACTTGCTTATGGGAATGATGTGAGCGTTTCTAAAAATGTCGCCTAAGCTAAAATAACAGCCAAGATCTTTTTAAACTCATCTGAATTTGAGGGTCTGGTTTCACATAAATGAAATATAATACAGGATCTATGACATCATAATACCATAACTAGATTTGTACTCTTGTATATACCATTCAATTACTAACGTCCGGTTCTTCTCTTCAGAGATCACTTAAGAAATAGTAATCTATAATAGAACCTAACATATACTGACACGAAATATCCAGGGATACATGTCTCAAGTATAAAATACATTTTAACTTATAATATCATTTCTATCAGATTTTAAAATCCATTTAATGGATTAAGCCCAGGGTCTCAATATTCCTCCTTCTGGATAATCAACATTATAATTTTTCTCATTTTGACTGATCAGGGCCTTACAAACACAATTTTACATAAATAACACTTTTTAAATGTAAGGTAGGAATCATTTGTATATATTTACTATATTTTCATGAGTGAATTAACTCCGTTAATTAGAAAACACTTTTCTATAGATTTTGAAAGGACTTTATATTTACATTTTTCCAATGTCTTACAGCAAAAATTCTATGAAAATACCAAAATCAGATCACACAGAATTCATCTTAACAAATTCAAGTAAAATTGCATTTTTGAGCAATATCATACTGTTGTTTTTAAAGATAAATGTAGTTTAAAATATTTCAGGTACTATTAGTGAAAGTGTTTTATGGTTGGTATTAAAATAAATTTGTTTTTTTTCTCCTAAATTTTAAGCAATCTGATAACTTGAGTAACGTTCTTGACTTATTTTTAGCCACATGAAAGTAAATGACCCGGCAAAGGAGATAAATTTCCTCAATAAGACACAAGAAATAGCTACTTCCTCAGTCTCATACACTGTTTTGCAGACCCACTCAACTGGAAAATAACATAAGTCTGCTCGCTGAAGTGTCCCTTCAGATTTGATTACCAGGAAAAATGCACAAGACGACCAAAGACATAATCTCTGACATAACTCTTGGATCTTCCTGAGTTTATACATTTCAAATGAACAATGGAAGCTAAAGAATTAGCCATTTTGAGCTAAATCTTATGTGGCAAATAAAAGGAAATACATTTTAATGTTAAGACATTAAAAAGGGATTATTGGTAAAGATGACAATTGTGATAATGGTTAAAATGTACCCATTAGAAGAAACAGTTCAACGAATCCAAACCTTCAAATAATAGAATGTCTGTTTGGTTGGTTTCAATTCCAGCCACTGAGATAATGCAAGGAAATAGCTGTTGGGTCATTGGAAAAGTTACCATGTGTTTTTCTATGCAAAAATGAGTAATGATTTTTCTGACGACCCAGTAGATAAATACATTATTTCAGGGGTAACAATTAAGAAGGCAATCCTAAATAGACCAAATATCCTATTACCTACATCTATCTACTCTATTTAATAGGCACATTAATGCAAGCTTATTAATAGATTCATTTTTCAATTATTTAAAAAATTGTTAAGTTTTAGAAAAGTGTAAATAGAAAGATATTTGGATATCAAATTTTTAATGTATAATTATTTAAAAATCAGATTTTTCTCATAAATTATGCATTTTACTTTTGAAAACCAGAGGCTTTGCAACAGGGAACATGTCTTACCCCTAGTTTATATTCTGCTGTGACTGAGTAAGGGCTGTTCCCTTACATGGAGCAGATACCCTTCAGTCTGTACTGTTCCCTATAGTCCTTCTGATACTCAAGAAAGTCAAGTTCATTTCAAAAGTTCGTTCACATTATGCTCTTGCCTGGAAGGTCTTTACCTTTATGTAAAAACTTTACATTTCTTGCTTAAATTTTTCCCTTATCACCCTAGCCCTCTGTATATCTATCTGTTTCTATAAGAAATTAGAATCAAGAAGTACACAGCCAATCAAGAACCTGAGGCTTGGGGAGAGGCTCCCAGGAATCTTCATTTCTAGGATGAAGAGATCGGACTACATCATCTCCAGCTGCTCTGCCAGGCGTGTGATTTCCTTTGCCTAAGTTAACAAATAACCTAAAGGCAGAGCTGTAACCCAGCCTTCCCTCATACAGGTCCTATCTAGAAAATAATTTCATCGAGCTAGGTGATTACCTAAAGCTTTCCATTTCATCTATTTCATTAAAAACAAAATGTAGTCATCTAAAGAATATTGGACAAATACTAAACAATTCTAAAAGAAAGTTTAAAAATTATTTTCTGTCTTTGACTTGAGTTTTAGATTTTGGATCACACCTATAGATTCTTAATTTCAGGAAGTGACTCTATAGTAGGGTCACTTTCAATTACTGTATTTGGGGGAGGTACAATTTTAAAAATCATACACTAGACATGTATTTTTTTTTTTAAGTGCTAGACAATATGTTGAGAAGCAGCACAGGCAACTCATACTAATGCTAACTGGGTCATATCAGACAAAATGCCCAGGTCTTTCACAATTATTCATTAGATTTGTTTAGACCGAGTTTTATAATTCACGTTTCAATTTGTAAATAATTTCTATTTAAATATTTATCTATCTCTGGGAAGTAACTCAAATAACTTAATTTCAGTTAGAAAATTAAATTGACTCAAAAACAAATCATGATGCCTGTTTCAGTACTTCTTCTATGTGGTCAAATATGCTGGGGTCTTCGATTGTAGGAGTTATCTGGAAAGAAATTTGGTATCAGATGGATGTTTGTCCTTGAACCCTTCCCATTCTCTTTACAATTAAACAATCACATATAATGTTGCATTCCTCATTGTAATACAGACATATTCAAAAACAGGGAGTTTTTTTTTTTTTTTTTTTTTTTTTTTTTTTTGAGGTTTTTTTTTGTAGAGGTTTTTGCTACAGGGTGCGTGCGCTCGCCAGACAAACAGAGAGAGAAAGAGAGACAGAAAGCGAGAAATCACCCCCCAGGGGGGATGGGCACGCCGCAATCCCTTCTCCTCCATTCTCCTCTCAGGATCTTGGGCACGCATGCAAACACGCCCGGCATGAGTTTTAAGCCACCGGGTCCGGGACGCGAACCACGGTCAACTACATGGGAATCCAGCGACATAGCCATTACATGAACTGCTGGTCCCCACTAGATTGTATTTTTACTAGAAATCCTCTTAAGAGTTTTTCTAACTGGTTCTGTAGAAAAATGTGTTTTTGTTTGTTTTTGCTCATGCAACTACTCTTTACAGCTGCACTGACTTTTTTTTTTTTTTAAAGGTTTTTGCCGTAGGACACATGTGCTCACCAAAGAGGCAGGCAGAAGGAGGGGGAGTGAGAAATCACTCCTCTGGAGGATGGTCATGCCACAATCCCTTATTCTCTATTCTCCTCTTGGGATTTGGAACACATATGCACACATGCCCAGAGTGATTTTTCAAGCCACTGTGTCCAAGGCTTGAACCGTGGTCTCCCATGTGGGAGTCCAGTGTCTTAATCATAGTGCCACCTGCTGGTCTCAGGTTGCCTTGACTTTTATTGGATCTCAATAAAATTGCATATGTCTAGGCATGCATGGCATGAAAATTAAAAGAATGCAAATTTGAATCAGCCTCTTTCCTAAAATAATTTTCCTTCAAAGCAGAAATAATAAGCATATATATTGATTAGAACATTTTAAACATCTATTACTAGCCTCAATTGTTTTGCTTTTTCATTTGCTAATAGCCATTAATAATTATGAGGAAAGGAAAAATTAGTTTCAATTTAACAGGTTTGAGCTTTCCCAAGTATGTCAGAATTTAATTGATAACTTCTAATAGCAAAACTATTTTCACTCACTGATTCCTGTAACCCAAGCATATACTCTTAACTCATTAGCATTTCTTTCTGAAACTCTCATTGCTATAGAAAAAAATGGCTAGCAATGTCCTCTTCAACATTAAAAACTAGTACTATTAATATGTTTTCAGTGACACAATTCACGTCTGAGAATCATTTTTAAGTGCTTTGCTGATGTCACAGAAATAGAGAGGAACATTTCAGAACCGAGCATTACTCATCTTTGATCATTTACCTTATAAGGCTTGCCATTGACAAGTGCAGACAGAGCTGCTCGGGGAATTTTGCCAGATCTGGTTTTAGGTAACTGTTTGACAAACACTGCATTTCGAAATGCAGCCACAGGGCCAATGCTCTGTCTAACATGTTTCACAATTTCTTCCAAAACTTGTTCCTCTGTTATATTTATATCTAGGGAGAAAGTTCAGAAGGTTAAGTACAGAATTAACCTTAGTTAATCATGCAGGGCACCATCAAGGAGAGCAAAGACCTCTTACCTCCTTTTAATACACAGAGTGCTAAGGGAACATGACCTTTCAAAGGATCTTCCTTGCCAACGACTGCACAATCTGCCACAGTACCATGGGAAAGGACAGACTGTAAAAGGCAAAACATTCATTTAGAATGCATACCCTACATATGTACACATTTTCAATTAGGGAAAAAAGATACATATCAGACAACCCAAAATTCTATCACTCATTTGCAACACTACTACTAAGGGAACTGGTTAGGATCCCTGGTCACTAAAGGCCTACAGTAATTAAGATGAATTGCTTAGCTTACCTGGGAAGTAAGAATGTTTTCTTCATCTCAATTGTTCGTTAATGAAGTCAGAGAAAAGGCACAGTGCATATGGCATATAAACAAGTGCAATGGCCTGTGAAAGCCAATGTGGCAGCCTCCTATGCCTTGTTAAAATTTTGCCTGAGGGCCCACTACAGAGAGAAGAAAAGTGAGAAAGCACCCGCATGGGCAATGGTTATGCGGCAATTCCTTTTCCTCCGTGTCTCCCTTCTTTTGGGATTTTTGGGTACACAGATGCATGTGCCCATCATGCTTCTGAAGCTGCCAGGTCTGGGACTCAAACTGCATGCTGGCTGTTGGGATTCAGCCACCTTAACTGCCACACCAAAGACTGGCCCAGTGACTAGTAGTCACATAAAATATGACTGTGTAGGGTTAAAAAAGTTCCATTTCTGCTGTAATAGGAAATTTTAAAATTTATGTTCTAAAAGTCTTTTTCTATTCATTTATTCGCCAAATATTTACTAAACATCTGTATTCCAAGCATGGCACTAGCCTCGGTGGTGAGCAAAAATAGGCAGAATATTATCTCATGGTGCTTATAGTCTAGCACAAGAAACAGATATTCATAAATAACCATGAGCAATTATTATAAACGTCTAAATGCAAAGGTGGTATGGGCTCTGGGGTAATAACTTGGGTTATTTATATAGCAGACATAACAAAAGCAATCCACTTAGCAGAAGGAAATGGCCCTCAGAGAAGTCTTCCCTCAGGAAATGACCATGAGCAGGTCTGACAGATGCATAGACATTGACTAAGCAAGGAGAAGGGGTGGGTCAAAGCCCTGCGGAAGGACTCTATTCAGACCCGAAAGAACTACTGCGGCTGAAAAGAATAGAGCAAAAAGAATGAGAATGTGTCAAGAGATGATGGGACTGCAAAGGTAGACAGGGGTTGTGGTATGGACTTCACCTGTTACCTCGGCAGTTCCAGGAAGACAATAAAGTATTCTAGTCTTTGAAGAGTATATGATTATTCAGAATAGATTTTTAAAATTAGACTTTTTTTAAAGCGTAGTTTTAGATGCCCAGCAAAATCAAGCAGCAAGAAGAAAGTTCCCCTGTCCACCCTTCTCCAACATAAACCGCCTATTCTACAGTACACATCACGCATCCTTTGTTACGATCAATGAGCCATTGCACACATCATTATTGCCCTCATCCATAGTTACCTTATAGCTCATCCTTGTCATAACTTCTATGGGTTTTGGCAGCCATATAAGGCATGTATACACCATTATAGTACCATATAGAATAGGTTCATTGCCCTAAAACTTCCCCGTACTATGTCGATTCGTCTTCCCTTTCTCCTAACTGCTGGCAACCATTGATATTTTTACTGTCTCCAAAGTCCTTTCCCATAATGTCATATATTTGGATTCATACAGTATCTAGCCTTTTCTGATTGGCTTTTCTTTTTTTTTTCACTTGAGAGTGAATTTTAGAAACCACAAACTAACCTTGGCTTCTGCGTGACTGAGGATAGAGGATTTTTCAGGGTAGGTATCACATTTTACACAGGGAAATCATCTAAGAAGCTAAGAGTAGACCAAGGTTATGGCAGTAAATACAAAGACATTAGAATTTCTTTAGAGGAAAAAGTGAACAAAATTTGATAACAAATTGGATAATGGGAATGAAGAAGACAGAGAAATGAAGTATTATTCAGTGACTTTTATTTGAGCAGCTGCTTGGATGGGAGAACCATTTTCTAAGCCAGAAAATGCTAGTGAGGACAAGGCTTAGGAGGAAAGATCATGCCTTAAGTCTTGGAGACAATTCACTGAGGTACCATTGAGATATCCAATTGTGGCAGTTAGAAACAGGGATCTGAGGAGAGGCTTAATCTGCAGATGTTCATCTAGATGTCATTAATATATAGATGGTAATGGAAGCTATAGACATGGATGAGACTAGTTAGGGAGAAAAGAGAAAAGAGTAAGGACTTGAAATACTCCAACACATATGATGACATGGAAAACCAGCTGGCAAAATAAATTACAAAGGCATAGCCTGAGAGGAAAACCAAACAGAGTCTTGAGCATTCCATTTTCTAGTCCCAAATTTCCATGAAGGACTTTATAATTTCTTAATTAATTTTTTTAAATTAAGCTAAGTTTAAATTGAGCATTCTCTTCTCTGAACTCCTGGAAGACTCCATGAATAGTTAGAATATTTAATACACATCCAGTGTATTGCCTCGCATTACTTCTAAGTACACATAAAAGTCAACATTTCTTCCATATCCTATTGTCAGCATCTAATGTGAAGTACTGGATTGTACCGTCCATGTAGTTTTTGATTCTTACAGTGCTGACGACAGTACATTTATAAAAAAATGATTTTTGTATTACATGGTTTAACTGATTTGTTGAAGTGAACATGTTCACACCCCTTTCTATTAGTTAGGCCTAACTAAAACCTTCTGCTAAATAAATACTATGCAGATTGTATACCACCATATTCTCCCATTGCTTCAATCTGAACTCTTAAATGATCTCAACAACTTTCTCATTTATTGTGTTATACTTACTTTTAAGATCCATATTTTTTTTGAGAGATTTTTTGCTATAGGGCGCGTGCGCTTGCCAGACAGACTGAGAGAAACAGAGAGACAGAAAGCGAGAAATCACCCCCCAGGGGGGATGGCCACGCTGCAATCCCTTCACCTCCATTCTCCTCTCAGGATCTTGGGTACGCACGCACACACACCCGGCGTGAGTTTTAAGCCACCAGGTCCGGGACACAAACCGCAGTCGACTACATGGGAGTCCAGCGACATAGCCATTACGCTAACTGCTGGCCCCTTAAGATCCATATTTTGAGAATACAGAGATAAATTTTTCTCCCACAGAGTTGTTTTAGTAGTTACTACAGTCAGTTACCAATCATGAAAAAGAATATTCATAGTAGAAAAGAAATAGACTTGGCAGGCTAGATTCTATAATTTAAATTTAGTATTCCCTTAATGATCAAAGAACAACTCTTTTACCTGACTAATTATAATTGTCACAATTAAAAAAAAATTTAAAGTAGGCTAGCCCTGTACCCTAGTAGTTAAAGGGAGCTAAATCCCACATGGCTGATTGTGGTTCAAATCTCAGGTCAAGTGGCTTGAAAAACACTTTGAAAACATGTGTGCTCCAAGTCCCTTATGTGATGAACTAATGGAGGAGGAGAGATTGTGGTGTGTCTCTGTTCCACTGGGGAGTGCTTTCTCCTCTCGGTGTTTCTCTGTCTCTCTATGGCAAGCACATGTACCTTCTGGCAAATAAAATGACAGAGAATTGCAATAAATAAGTTACTCAGAAAAATAAAATATGTTACTATAAACTGAAAAAAAGTTATGAAGAATGACAACTTATGGCCAAAAATTTATAAGGAACATAAAGAAAAATAAAATCATTTTGCCATATAATGTAATGTTCTTTGTTGAATGATGAATATGGTAAGTAAGATCTTTGATTTGCTTAGCAAATACTGCATACATGTTTTCAAAACCATATTGTATACCACAAGGGTGAAAAATTAAATGTAGGGACCAGCAGTTAGCGTAATGGCTATGTCGCTGGACTGCCACATAGTCAACCGCGGTTCGCATCCCCGACCCAGTGGCTTAAACTCACGCCGGGCACATGTGCGTGCATGCCCAAGATCCCGAGAGGAGAATGGAGGAGAAGGGATTGTGGCGTGACCATCCTCCCTTGTGGGTGATTTCTTGCTTTCTGTCTCTCTGCCTCTGTCTGTCTGGCAAGCGTACACGACCTATAGCAAAAACCTCTCCAACAAAAAAGAAAAAAAAATTAAATGTAAATAAGAAATTGAAAAATAAAAAATCAGACTTTTTTTACATAAAAATTTTCTTTGCATTTGTTAGAAAAAAGGCCTGAAAAAACAAAGGAAAACCCCTAAATATACATACATCCAGGTATTTTGTCACAGCATCAGTATTAGCATAATTTTAACTGAATTGATCAGAACTTCTAGTTTGCCATCCTTTCACCTTGCTATTTTAATTCCACCACAATTTCATGCTTAGCACTTTTTCAAGTAGGAGTGAAAATGTTGATTGTTGTTTTGCAATGGCAGAATATTCTTAAATTATAAATAATACATAATACCATTTCCTATAATGTAATATCAAGGTGTCCCATTTTTTTAAACTGCAGATAAATCTTCGCCAATCTCTGAGAAATAAGATCATTTTCTAGAATTCCATGAGCCTCCTTATTACAGTGGATGAGATTATATTAATTATATCAATTAACAAGATGTTATAAGGAAAAAGGCAACTTTCTATGTTGGCCCCACAAATAACATTTGTATGCCAAATGATGATTTCCATGGCCGAATCAAAAAGAAATGCATCAGAATATGTTTTAATAACATCTGAAGGGCAGAAGCCAACCAAATATCCTATGATGGGTAAAAAAATCAAAAGCCACATTTACGCATTCCATTCATTTAAACCTATGAGGCATTTGTGATTAATAGGCACCTAAGTATTTCCTGTGATACAACTTAGAATGTAATTATTTCACTGAGAATGAGTATTAAGATGTTAGGGGAATAGGCCTTGTAAATGCCTGTCTTTTGTAAAATTTTCTTTCTTTCTTCCACGAAAGAAAGGTATGTGTCAGAGAGACAGAGACTACCCCAGCAGCATCTTCATGCTGTGATAGCCTCCTGGCCTCACCCAGTCTAGATGGCGGGCACACCTGTGTGCGGAGAATACAAGGAGACCCTGAGGCGTGAACCCAGGGCCTTCCTCTGTCAGCCCAGCATTAC